TTATCAAAACAACACGTGAAACGTGATAGAATTTTATTTAATGATAATTCAAGAAAGTTCACCAAATAATTGCTTGTGTGGTATATATACCGCTAAATTTTGACACGATGAAACCGAAACATCGCAATTTAGATCCGGACTTTATTACGAACTAATTACACCATAAAAATCTCACGTACAAGCAATTATTACAGTAAATAATATTAACTTATTTTATATGAAAGTAACGTTTTCTATACTGCCAGTTCGCTATTGGTGTCGTAGAAAATATTCTCCTAATTGTTTGCATACGAAATCGATCCGGAAACTTCTTTTTCTTTATAATACGAAAAATTCCACATTTCAACACAACCAGAAATAGAACGAAATCCTGTCCAGAAAACCTTCGGAGCATAAATTGCGCTTGTTTTCGAGTTAAAAATATTTTTTAAGATATACGTCCGGTGACAATGTAAAAATATAACAAGAGATGTCCTAAAATCCACACCAGGTGAGGTAAAATGCATGACATTTGATGGCTCACATTTAAATCTGACATCAGACGTGTAAAAGTCATGTTTTATTCCGTTGACATTACTGAATATTTTTATAACAGTAAACGTTTTGATAAAACCGCCATGTATTGGGGAACATTTAGCGCAAGAATTTACTTTTCAACGTGAATATCAGATTCCAAAAACTGGCACTTTGATTTCTAATTAATAATTTTATAAGTTTCTGACTCGATAGAAAGTGCAATTTAACAATTATTATGTAAGGTGCAAATTTATGCAACTAGTTTCATTTCCAATACTTATGCACAAATTACATATTTAAATTCTATTAGAGTGGTGACCACTTTTTTTGTATTAAACCTATGTAAACGTCTCGCGTGATTTGAAACAAAATATCTCCTTCGAAGATTCTAGATATTATGAATATTATGACAATGCAGCTAAAAATCAATGTAATATTTAAGTCTCGTCTGTTAAAAGAACTAAAAGAATGCATCATACTTACATATTTATTTTGTAAGATATTATAAAAGATGATATAAAACGAAATAAAAATTAAAAAGAAACAAAATTACACTTCTTATCTACACTTGCAGTACAAAAATTCGAAAAATAGTTAAAAACAATATTTTTAATACAAAATCCTGCACCAAATCAACAATACTTTAATGTGCATTCTTTCCGTGAATCAGATTAGAAATTCTTTACTAATCACTCGTCACCCAAATGAAGTAAATGGTGAAAAATTATTAATCACAATTTGATAAATATGTTTATAACTTCACAAATTCGTTTTTTTATTAATCATACAAAACTATCGGTGACATACAAATTTAAGATTCCAAAAATTGATTTAAAGGAAGTGATTGGAACAATTCACTCTTATAACGAAAATTCAATTCACTAACATACATACTTTATATGCAATTAATTATATGTAATTAAATGTATGCACTTAATTATAAATTACTGAAGTATGTAAGCGGTTTTACATTCTCGTATTTGGATATGTGCATAGTTCATCAGGAAGAAGAAAATGTACATTTCAAACATTGCAAAACCATGCAAAAAGTATCTTAATCCTTGCATTCACTTCGTATTTTTAGAAAATCAGAAGCTTTATTGCCTCCTTGCCTTTACTTTATACGCTTATCTAACGAAATTTTACGCTTAAATGAAAATAGATCTGCATAAATAGAAACATAATTAGATCACAAAAATAAAGCTTATCACTTTTAATATCCAAAAACCAAAAAGAAAATCTAATTTAATCAATTTAGAAATCTTATTAAATATAATTTCTTTTTCTTAAGCAGTGCAGCTGTTAAAATCATAACAAACATTGAAATATTTACCCAAGCTAAAGACGCAATATGGTAAATTAGCACAGCATCGTTCTGCAAATGTAGACATTCGCATAATTCGCACTGAAGTTATACTTAATTTCATAAAAAAACGTGATCAACTATAAAATGAATAATTGATATGCTATAAAATTGTCACGCTTACATGAAATACAACTGTTAATGATTTATATCATCCTCAATTATTTTAGAAAAGTTATTGTACAGCATATCCATCTGGCTAATGTTTCATAAAATATACGAAGTGATCCAGAAAGACTGTGTCTGTTGGTAATAGATTTGAAAATATTTTTGTTAATAATTTGAAACACTGCAACCGAATACGGTTTTGCTTGACAAATACTTGACGTACAACCTCTCAAGATTGAATTGTTGTTAATCAAAAGCGTATTCCAATGGTAACCTTTAAAAATTAGAGTCAGGATTGCCAACATATTCATTAATTGTGACATTAACAGTTGTCAATTTTGGTAATGCATTTTTAACCGTTTTTTTACGAATTTCGCGTTACATTTGCATTTTCATTTTCTTCCTTGAAAGTGATTCTTAAAGTCTAACGAATCTTAAATTTCAAAATAAAACGTGAGCATAGTTATACTTTTTTTCATATTAATGTACATCAAGTAGGTTGTAGAAGTCTAAATGCATCTTTAATTTAAAGGCCGATTTACACAAAAATTGTCATTAATGTCATTCAGAACAAAATTAATCACATCAGTAATAACAAAAATCTTTATGTTCGCTGTCCTATGGTGTTAATTACGTTGTTAATTTTAATTATTTTTTGCTACATTTGCCACATTTATTTAAAAAAATAATTTTCAAGGAAGATTGAAGTTAGGATTGTTTGAATTTTCGCATGGTTGCCACTTTAAAATGATCCCTTTCAATGCACATTAATATGAAAACGAGTATAATTGTTTGAGAGCAAATAGATTTATTATTGCGTCCTATTATCCCAACAGAGATTTGTGGACTGTGAGTGGACATTCCAATAATAAAACTAACAAATTATAATCTATGAATTTAATAAATTGAGAAGCGACAAATTTCCCATTGTTAGAATCATTTATAATAACCCTATATAACAAAATTTATTATAAATTACATATTCTACAAACCAATCTAAAACTGATCTAAATAAAAAGCAATAGCAGAGCAAAACCCAAAAAGTAACAATTTCGTGAATCTTCGGACTATTCTTGGATGATTATTATAAATTCAATAAAAAAATAACTCAAACGATTCTCATTAGTTCACACTTTAAGTTTCTCAAGATTCTGTGCTAAGTTAACCATTTTTGGGCCATGTTAGATACAAAATAAAGCGTAATTAACTTTTAAGTAAAATTTTTAAAGTTGTGTTGCTTTTTTGAGACCAGACTAGTAAGAACAAACAATAATATCAGAATGGTATCGCTTCTTTTAAATTTTAAACTATGTATACATTGTAACCCTTAAAATAATAATCATTGAATATTTAGGTACTGGCGAACCATGAGATAAAATGTTAATATTCCGACTTATGCACGAAACATTTTAGTCCTTGAAGAAGGGTATAATAATAAAATTGATAATAGGCCATATGTGACCTTTGGTTTACCTCGAATTGCAAATTACAATGCGTAAATAATAAAATCGTAAAAATTAAACGTAATCTACAATAATTATTATTACTTAGCATAAAATTTAAAGAATAGACGGGGTGTTTATAATTACGTGTTATCAAAATACGGTACTTATACAGGGTCAGTCACAGGAGAGTTACTTTGAAAATTAATTAGTTTGCAACCAAAAATACCTTTAGCATATGTAACTGAATATGAATAAATATAATATTTTATTTAAATTAATTCAGTAATCAATGTGAGCTGGATGAAAATGAGTGAAGTCGTCAAAATGACAAGCAATTGTCTACTGCTTCAAGGACTCTAATTTCATTTTCTGGGCCAGTAGCAGTCCTCTGACGGGGTCTTTATTGGGGACCAATCTTGTCGTAACTTGGCTTCCAGTTTTCGAAATGTTTCAGGACCGGATGCATTTTATTTGGATACCTCCCCCAGTACAGAGCTGCTGCTGCAGGAGCATTTTTCTTGCATTCTCTATGGAGCATGCCCACTTTTTCGTTATTTGTGTAATAATACATTGTATTAACGAAAATTGACTGTTACTATTTAAATGACAAATTGAAAAATATGCAAAGTATTCTTGGATTCAATTTTATAATTTTTAAAAATGAGGAAGCTAGACGCCTATTTGAATTGTATAATGGACTGCTGCCCAAATTATTTCAGAAGTAACTCTCCTGTGACTAACCCTGTATGTATATACAGGGTGTTTCACGTAATTTTACGAGGCCTGCTCCTGTAAGATGCAACATATTCCGATACGAACTCGATTACAAATTTTGAAAAATTGGATCTTTTCTAGTTTGTTCACCCTTTAAAAATTACAACGTTTTTAGTTAGTAGTTAGTGATTAAGACAGATAAACTACAATCATATTCATGCCGTCTCTTGATAGAACAAATGATAATTGTTTCTGAAAAACTGCAGTTTATGACTATTAATGAAACAGTGATTAGTTTGACAACTACTTCATGGGTTTCCAAAAATTAAATAATTAAATGTGTATTTTTTGTATCCAGTGTTCTGTGACTTTTGTATATTTGGGTGCGTACATTAGGTGCAAGCCTCGTAAAGTTATGTGAAACACCCTGTATAAAATGTTTTTGTCTGTTCTAGTTTTATTCAAGTGGTTTAATAAATAAATCACCTCGTGTCTTATCAGAATTGTTTAATGTCTCTATCGCACTTTATTTTTCAAAAATACATACATTAATCTTGTAACCCTTTTTACATTGCTATATGTATTACGCAATTTTATTTGCTTAATTAACCGAGTTAATTGTGCCAATAATAAATCAGCTACATTTGGTAAAAATCCCCAAACTTCAGTATCCTATCCAATGGCACAATTTTTAATCGATGTTTACTGTCTAGGTGCTGCTCGTTAATGAAGTGGCAAAGGTAAGTAGGTAGGTTATAGTTTTTATCCTGTCATATATGGCAAACTCGAGGTTAGTGTAGCATTTTGACCCAGTTTGCGGCGATTTATTCGCAACACTAAAGGTTATGTTATACCTTGAAAACCTCCGAGAAAAACCCCGAGCCGATTTTTTCCTTGTGGAAGTCATCGAGCCGATGAAGGGATGCCACCGCATGCTTCAAAGCCTCGCAGGAAGATCCAGTTTTGAGTCTATCACAGCGGGTCCTGGGGGGCTCCGACAGTTCGTTATTGGGGCAGTACAACTTTTCATAATCGGTAGCCCTAGGGTCGCACGGGGTGTCGTATATACACGAAATTTTAGCGTTACGGGGCTCATTTTTGTTGCTCGAGTGCATCATAACAGAATGAGGTCCTATGTGATATTAACCAATATCGTACATGTTTCTGTACGACTTAGGTGGGCCACTCTTGAAGTCTTATTAAAATCACACATAATTTTTAATATTTTATAAGTTCACTGGAAACCTTTGAACACCTTGTCAGGTGAATGTCCAACATTGCAACTGACAGTCAAAACGGCCGAAAGATCATTTGACATAACTTTTATAGGTAAATATCAACGCAAACGGATTTATGCAGGTTTTATAATTAAATTTAGAATTTGTGTGCACTGCTGCAGGTTATCATAAATAGTAGGTACACTTCACACTCCGTTGAAAAACGTCCGCGTCACTTCATTTAACACAAGACACCTCACTTTTAGGCACTGAAATTATCCTTTACTAAAGCCGAGCTTCCAATTTCAAGTTTCACACGTAAATAAAAAGTTTGTAATGACAGTGCAAGCTTTCACCCGTTCATCTAGTGTACATAGCTGCCATATTGTGAAAAATATCGTCTGCAAACATTTCCATCTCGTTCTTCTCAACGAGGTAAACAAAGACGTATGATGTCACGTTGATCCAAACGTTAAAAAAATGCACTTAAAGCAAGCGCATGCGCATTTAATTTAAAGCGCGACTTTCAAACATTATTATTCTATTAAAGCGAATGTAATTCGTTTAAAATATTACGAAATTGTTATTAAACAACATTGTGAACCGCGAATAGCTAAATAAAGGGATTTTAAAACGTTTTCAAAAAAAGTGAAATGTTCCCATGTAGGAAATTGTAATTCACATACTTTCTTCTCCATACTCATACAATTGTATCTACAATAGCTAAATTACCATAATGAAAGTGGCGGATTCAGTCGATTTAATTAACAAAATATTTTAAATTTCCTTTGTGACACCAATTAACTGTTTCAAAACAATACTAAACGTGTTATTATATTTTATTGAAACAATCCACTAACATAATCTATTTCTTTTTCAAGTACTTTACATATTTATTTGCGTCAAAGCTATCATCAATATCATCTTCATATCTAACTTTCTTCTTTGGTTTTCTTGCCTCCAACCTTGCTTTTCGTTCTGCTTCACTAAGAATCCATATATTCAAAGGTAACTGAAAAACACAAGTAAGAACAAAATAAACAGCTTTAGAAAAACATACTTTTATAATTTGCCTGGGTTCGTGATATTTAATATTAATAGTTGACCCATCTGGATTAACAAGAACAGTTGGATATGTTCTCTTATAAGTAAGTCTGTGGGGTCTTGTGATACTGGCTGAATGGCAGTTCAAAAATCGTATTTGGATCAAAGTCCCAAGTAAACTTTTTGTACTCATTTGGACGATTAATAATAAAAATCAGTCAACCACTTGAAATATTAAAATTACTGATAAAATGGAATTTTCAATTACGACGTTACATAAAATATGAAAATGTGAGGTTAAACTTGGTTAAACTCAACAACTCAACTCAATCAAAGGAAATCATAATGAAATGAAAATAACAACAGAAATCTGTAAACCGTTGTTATAGAGGGCAGCACAAAATTACAACAAAATACGAGGGACTTTCAAAAGTTTACAGTACTAATTCCTACTTGGAACACAAAATTATGGAATAACTGATACTTATTCTAATTATTACCTCCGTTGTCCAATTTTGTATTTTTTTAACCGATTATTGAAATAATGAAATTAAATGAATCAATAGTTATTTATTTTTATAATAAAAGGATTCCATGGTTGTTACAAAGTGTAAGTTTATGTGGTTCAAGGGAGGTACTGGGAATAACGTCTTCTTGCACTCTTATGCCTTTAGTACCTCCCTTGAGTAGTATTTATTTAATTTAGCATGGAAAAAGTGAATTTGATCCCATGATCCCATGAGAGCCCTGATTTCTGTGCAGGTACTTTGAGGTGGTTTCGAATGGACTAAAAATTAAAAAAATGAGTTTTTATTGGATTTTTTGATACATATCTGGAACTACCCCAAAGCACCTACACAAAAAACCGGGCTCTCCAACAACCAAATGCATGAAACCACCCTTTCAGTTAAGTTCGGAAAATCTTTGTGATCTTTGTGAACGCTACTTTAAGAATTTATTTAAAAAACAATAACTGGTTAAAAAATAATTTTGTTTAATTACTTAATAGTTATTCACATAAAAGTATTTTTTTTTATCAATTTTGCAGCTGCTGCTATTGGCGATCTATTACCGTGTAATCAAAAGAGCGATATGAAAGGGCATTTCAACATGGGCAATAATCCCTCTACACAGTGGCGTAACTACCCACCCGCCAAAGCCCGCGGCCGCGGGGGGGCCCTTGGGATAAAGGGCCCTTTCCATAATAATAATAATAGTAATAGTCTAAAAAATTTTAAAGGGTGTACATAAATTATTATAAGCCAATGCAATAAAAAACAAAAAACTAAAGAATTTTTCTTCTTTTCTGTATTTAACTCTGCCTGTCACCGTCACATCAGCGGAGATATCCTTTTCTAAATTAAAATTAATAAAAATTATTTACGGAACTCTATGAACCAAAAAAGGCTTACAAATTTGTCCATTTTGTCAATAGAATACGATGTCGCTTAAAAACTAAACATGGACAATGTTATCCAAAATTTTGCAAATTTAAAAGCAAAGAAAAAACAAATTACCTAAGTAAACGTGAGCTGAAATTTTGTTATTCTGCTATTATTGCTTATATTTTTTTATTGTTATTTGTTTTGTTAAATTGTTCTACTATTGTTTCTTTGAGAATTATTGTTCTTTAGCGAAATAAAATATACATACTATGTATACACTGTGTCAATTTTAAAACTTGCAATCGGCAATTTCTCTCAACTGAAAAAGTTCTTAATAATCACTCAAAACCGTTTTGGTGGTTCCTAGGGGGAATTAAAATGACATGATAAGTGACACATTTCCACCCACCCTTGAATATAAAAAAAAATAAAATTTAACATCTTCGTTTTTGAATAATTGGAAAAATGAGTTTACCAAATAGGCTGTTGTATGACATTTTTGAAAAGCGCTTGTTATGGGCTTTCCAACGATGTATCGCAAGTAGAATCGTGCCATTTAAAATTTTTAACTTAAGGTGGCTGTGGCTTGAAGGGTGGGTGGAGGAGCGTCAATTACCATACCATTTTGATTTCCCCTAAAAACCACCGAAACAGTTGAGTGATTCTCAATAATTTTTTTAGTTCTAGAGATTTTGCCGATTGCAAGTTTTAAAATTGACACCCTGTATGTATAATCTACAAGGATTGCATTTTTTAGTTTCTTCTTATACTTTATACTACTCTCTTCTCCGAAACCAGAGAAGAGAGGGGCCCAACAGACGTCTTTCGCGGGGAGGCCCAAATTTTCTAGTTACGACACTGCCTCTACAAGTAATGATTTTTTTGGCCTCCTGACATGTAAATGTCAAATTAACGTACAATTGAGAACTATTGAAAAACTGTATTTACAGTCGCCTGGGTATTTTACGCACGGCCGTGGCTTGGGCGTGCGGTAAAGTGACAGTTTTACCGCACGGCCAAAACTATCTTTATATACATTTATAAAAAAAAACATTTGTAAGATGATAACATTTTAAATAAAACGCTCGATACACAACCTTTAAATCTTAGAATTACAAAAATAACTATTTTTTTTACATTTTTAATTTCAGTTAGATTGGCGTCATCTTGTGTTGCGTTAATGTGTTAACGTCTTACAGATTACTACAATGTCACATATTGACATAAAATTTGAATCAATTACGAGAAACAATAATAATAATTAGCAATTGATAATTACGAGATAAAAAGAGGTAACGTATGTAAAGAGATAAAAGTTTTCTTTAATTAATAGTTTCATTCTTCATGTTTCCTAATCCTAACCTAACTTTATTGCAGGTAATACTGATTATACTATTATTATAATGACTTTGAATAACAATCTAAACAAATTAATAAGGCAAAAGTAAGTAATCCAGATCTTGATTTTAAAAGAAAATATCATTATTGTACCTACTGTTACTGTGAATAAATAATTTTGTCAAAAATAATATAATTCATTTACTTATGTTACAATTATTATAAATGTTTACATTAATTGTGCTATTTTGAACACTTGAAAAAAGCCCAGGAATTAGCTGATTGCTTGTTGTCGTTGTAGTTTCAACGTTTGGATTGTTGAAAGAACTCATATTTACTTCAAAAGTGGGCCTTTTTGAAGCGGATGGCCCAGTTGAAGTGGATGGTTCAGTTGAAGTGGATGGTCCAGGCTCTGTCATCATATGGGCCACATCAATCTTTCTTTTTAGCGATTCAGCAACATAACCTTCTGCTACTTTACCGCTTTTCCACCCCCCATGCCTTTTTATAGTTAGAAGGTCCCCTCCTCGATTTGCCAACCAAGTCACTGAGGTTCTCCTAAAACAGTGTCCTGTGTATTGGGAAGGATCCTCTAACTTTAAAAATTCAGCGATCTTGCGTGGAATGGCACCAATGCTATTAATACCAACAGGCACAGCACAACATTTGCCTTTTTCATATCTCAAAAAAACACGATCTGGTACTTTAGTGATTTTTGATCTTATTTGTAAGTATTTTTGAATGACGGTCACCCATTCTTTTTTTGTTATTGCAAAAGATCTACTTATATKAGTTTTTGTTTTAGGGATTGTAATAATAAAAATATCATCTTTTTGTTCAAGATCTTTCAGAACCATATTTGTTAGTTCTTCTCGACGTAAAGCGCCGGACACACCAATTATCAAAACGACCTGGAACAATGTTAAAATCAAAGCTAAGACGTAAAATGTTGTGATTGTTACAGTTTTAAGTGTAGTTGAAGGGATTCTTTATGTTCATATGTAATGAATGCTTACTTACCTTCATAAGTAAAAAATTGTAATCAGAAGCCTGGGACAGAAAAGCTTCAAAGTTTTCTTCATCCAAAATTTTACTTTTTTTAGGGGTATAGTATTCGGTTTTCCTTTTTAAATAAGTTACTAATTTTCCATATTTTGATATATCAATATTTTTGTTTAGCATAATACATGATTTTAGCATTGAATAAATTGCCCATAGAGACTTTTTATTTTTGTTTACCAAATCAGTGAAATAGGCTAACAGGACATTTTCAGAAAAAGACTTAACCCCTTTTTCTTCGCACCAGTTTACAAATACATTGTATTGCGCTTCATACCTTGCCCGCGATTTTTGGGGCAATAGCTCGGTAGAAGCATTTTGTGCAGCGCTTCTGATTTCTGGYGGGGTATTATCACTATTATCGCTATTATCACTCGACATTTTGAAACTTTAAAACTTTATGTCTGAGACGTTTTGCGTCTTTTTTAATTGTTTGACATTAGAGCGCATAGCCACCGTGATATTTATGTCAAACGTATTTATTTGCATTAATTCTGAATTTTGTAATTTTGGATTTTTGTTTAAACGTCGGCCAAAAAGCTTAATACAAATCTTGTGCGTTAACCATTTTACAGTGCTCAATTATTAAAGCACTCCGCTGCGCGTCGTGCTTCAAATTCATTTCGCACTGTAAAATGTAAGTTACCGCACACGAATGTAAATAACTAATCTACAATCTGCTACGATCACGCCGACAATAAGATTTCGACTAGGACTTTTACTGAAAATTTGAAGCTCGGTCCTAAATCACTATCTGGAATCAAACATAACAAGTTCCACAATTCAAGATAATTTGTAATCGAATCACCTTTGCATTCGAGAACGTATGTCTAACTGTACGTGAAACGTCAAATAACACGTAAAACGGCAAAATGGGCTGGAATTAGTCGCCGACGTATAATAATACGAGTAGGACCGCTCTTTTTTGAAGGTGAGTTATAAATTTAGTTTTATCATCACCTTTTTGATCATGCCATTTTACTTTTCGACTTGTCATTTTACTTGACATTTTACAGACATACGTTTTCGAATCCAAGGTTGACTCAATTACATCGCTCGATATTTCTAATTAATAGTTTTGAATAAATTGTTCTTTTTTACAGTATCTTTTTTATTTTACGTCTTGTAAAGTCATTACAGTACTAGTTCGGAAAATTCAATTTTCCTGCTCGTAAATAAGCAAGAAAATGTTGTTTCTAAGACAATTTCCGGAAAAAGTCATTTTTGGATCATAGTCTTTAATTAAAAAAAATGTAACAGTAGGTCGCCATTAATTTTTTGTTTTTTGCAAAACTCTAAAACTAAAAAGAATTTCGAAAAATGTTATTCTTGATAATTGGTCACATTTTAATTGTACTTTACACTACACTAATTATTTTTTTGCGTAAAGTGGTTAATTTAAGAAAAAAACGGCTGGTTCCATACTTTTTACATATTTTTTGTTGTTGGTCCACGGACTTGGAGATTTTTTTTTAGTTAAATTAATACATGAGCTGGTTCATTTAGCTTTAATATACTTTTTCCCGCTCTCGGGACAGTAAACACCCCATACATATTTAGATACGCGGCGATACGCGGCATATTGTAAATGACCAATATTCTTCTATTAGTTGCCTTTGACGACGGAATATAATAGTGTCATTTACATTCTTTGGAACACAATAATAGTTTAATGTGTCGACACTATTAATGCTGGTTACATAATACATAACAATTAGGTATTTGGTTTATACAATTTAATAATACACACATGGGCGCCCGCAGAAGTTATGGTAAGGGGGGACAAAAAAAAGTCAAAGTTAATAATAACCGTTTTATTCGTCTGTTTTCATATCACTCAGTTCGTGATAAAAATGTAAATAGTAGTTTCTTATTTCGTTCATGAAAATTTAAATTAGAACGAGTTTGTAAGAATTCAAAAAAATCTTTTTTATATTAAACAGCAACCACTATTGTCCCAGGGGGGGCACCAGCCCCCACTGGCCCCCCCCTGTGGGCGCCCATGAATACACATAAATACAAAATAAATAATAAATACAAAAATTAAATGCTATACAAATTGTGTTTTATTTGACATATTTTTCTAAGGTTAATAAAAAACGCTCATTAAAACGGTTTTTGTAAAAATTATTGTATTCCAATATTGAATTTTATTTTATTTCATTTATCATTATTTAATGCGCTTGTCTACAAAATAATAAAGGAAACATCTGTAGATAAAAAAATACATTTTGTAATAAATAATGATCGCTTATGCTTCCTATGAAATGATAATTACTTCCTACTGAGATTTGAATTTTATAACAAAACCATTGTTCATTTGTTTATTCAGTATCCACCTTCCAAACAAATTATTTGTAAGCGAAAGTTTTTCTTTATTCTAGTGTCTGTCGCACAAGAGTAAGCAGCAAGAATTGTAATGAATGTGACGGGTAGTGTTATTTTCTTGTTTTTATTGCTAAGTTCTATTAATAATAATTTTTGGTAAGATACATTTATTTAATTTAATTTTGTTTGATTCAATAATTAACACTACGCTTTTTCAGCAAGTGTTGTATTGACACCCCACATTTATTCCAAATAACTCCCCCCGTTGACCATACAGAAGGCCCCACTTGGGACAGTCGCAAAGACATCCTATATTTCGTCGACATTCACGCTGGAGACATCTATGCTTTCAAATTTCTAACCGGTAAATTGGATTCCATTCATTTAAACGGTGAAGTGACTCCAGTTATACCATCAAGAACTGACCCGGAAATTCTGATTGTTGGGGTAGACAGAAATGTAGTAGCTGTGGAGTGGAACGGTAAAAGTAAATTTTATCGAACCAAACCTTTAACAACTGTATCAAAACAATTCCCAACGAGCCGCTTCAATGACGGTAAAGCCGATAAACAAGGTCGCTTGTGGTTTGGTACAATATATTTATCCAAGTGTATTATTTTTTGAACCCATGTTTTAGGTACTATGGGTTTTGAGGATTCGCGAGGTGTGACCCCAAATCAAGGTGTTTTATACAAAATAACACGCGAGAACTTGGGTGATCCTGAAGTGATGGTCGCACCCGTGAATATAAGCAATGGCCTTACTTGGAATTATGCAAACGACAAATTTTATTACATAGATACACCAACGCGAAAAATCGTAGAGTATGATTACGACGATGAAAAAGGTACAATTAGAAACGGACGAGTAGTTTTTGATCTTGCGTTGTATGACTCAATTAAGGGTAATCCCGATGGAATGACCATAGACCGGGATGATAATTTATGGATTGCGCTTTATGGTGGCGGGGCTGTCATCAAGGTTGATCCCAGAACAGGCCATCTACTTCAAGTTGTAGGCATTCCTGCTGAAGCTGTGACGTCAGTAATGTGGGGAGGCCCTAATATGGACCTTCTCTTTATAACAACATCAAGAACATCATTAAGTCAAGAGCAGAGATTGATGCAACCGCTCGCTGGAAGTGTTTTTGCTTTAGCTGGTTTAGGGACCAGCGGGTGGCAGGTTTTCGATGCTGATATTGTGGACAAAATATAATAATTACATGTGATGCGAGCATTGTCCAAATCTTGTAAAATTTTCTTTTTGTTTTCATTCAGAGCCTTGTTACGTTGGACCAATTGTACCTACTCAAATAACTTGTATACAGGGTGATATTAGTAATTGTCCAAAATTTTAAAAGGTGGTCGTATCCGAATGTTTATAGTTGTTGAGATATAAGGTGCAATCTTCAATTTAGCCTCGGAAAATTTGTCAAAAAAATATAGTTTGAACGAATTTCGTAATTTCGTAGTCCAAAAATTTTAGATTTCTAATAATCGATTTTTATTTTTTAACTCAAAATATGAGAACCTGTGGCTGTTATTGATAAGTTTAGCTATTATTTTAACAATGTAAAAGATTTTGAAGAGCTAACTTCAGATACCATATTTGTTTATAATTTCTGTCATAGAAAAGAGAGATAAAGAAAGATTTTTGTTGTTAGTAAGTTCGAAACTAAGCGCCTTTAAATTTATTTGGCTCTATATCGCAAAAACTACCGTGTGATTTTTTAAATTTCTGTTCTAGTTGTCCATGAGACTTACATCTATCTGTCTATTTCAAGAGTACAGTGTTGGTTGTAAATGATTCAAATGTGATTTCTGATACTTAGCCAATCCAAAATGTACCGTTCTAGTTACGCGATACGTATGTGTCATGGACAACTATAAAAGAAATTTAAAAACATCACACAGAATGAAAATTTGGATAAGAGAAGTTGAGTTATTTCTGCATCTTTCGTTCTCTAAACAGAGTGTTTCAGATCTCGTGCCCCAAAGAACATGTCAAGTAAGATAAGATACTTACTAGGAACATGAAAAAAATGTTAAAAAATTCTATCTACAGTATGTCCCCGGATTGAGTTTACAAAATAAAAAAAATATTTTTTATCTTTGATTTTACGCCAAAATTGCAAAGGAAAAACCTTTTTTGCTTCACCTGAAACGATGAGCATTACTCTGATTCAGTGAAAAGAAAAGTTATTTTTTCTCTTGATTTTTGACTTAGATTATTTTTTTTTCTGCTTTTTAAGTCCTATCACATTATTTAATTAATAAATTAGTTGTCAAGGTGACATATACAGGGTGTTTAAAAAATCGAGTACTTCCGTGACACTGTGTCATCAGAGTTTGTCATGAGAGTTTATATTTTGCACTTTGACTCTATTTATTTCTGTTGGAATAATAATAATAATAGCTACAGGCTATTAGAAGAGGAAACAAAGAAGCTGTATCCTAAACTGTAATTTTGTTTAGTATTATTTGTGGCTTTTTTTGACAAAATTTTTGTACATAGAAGATTGAATAAAAATAGTTGTGTTGCTATGTGTTTTTAAATGAGATATAACTCTTTTTTGTCAAGATATAAGCAATATAGTTAGGTTGCACCTGTATGACCCTTCACTGTCATTTTGTTATCACTACATTTGTGTTTTATCTATTATCACATCCACTTACAGTAATTATACAAACCAAAAAACAGGTTACCTGCGTATTTTGTATTTGTGTATTGTACTGTTTTCCAGCATTTATAACATAAATTTGTTGCAATAAATACTCGTAATACCTACTTTTTTGAGTATAATCGTTCCAAATATGGAGATGAAGGTGTTTCTAATTTTAAATATAATATGCAGTATTGCAGCAGCGTAAGTTTATATTAAATTAGGTACTTGTGAATTGTAATTTGTGTCGATTTGTAGTGGTCCAGGAGTATTTTTAATTACTGACCCAGTGGACCATAGCGAATGTCCCACATGGGACAGTAGAAATAATTTGTTGTATTTTGTGAACATTCATGCAGGTGAAATCTATAGATACCACTACGAAAATGAAGAAATAGAAGTCATAAAACTCGACGGTGAAATCGCTCCTGTCATTCCCTCAAAACGCGACCCAAATCTTCTAATTGCTGGGTTAAACCGATCAATTGTAGCTGTGGAATGGAACCAAACATCATCAAGTGATACAAGAATCCTTACAACCCTATCCAATCAATTCCCTACAAGCAGAGTTAATGACGGTAAAGCTGACAACCAGGGACGTTTGTGGATTGGAACCATGGGTTATGAAAATTCGAGTGGTTTAACACCCAACCAAGGAGTTTTATACCAAGTGGCTTGTAAGACACTAAACTCTCCACTTGTCGAAATTGCTCCACTGAATATAAGTAATGGAATGGCATGGAATAAAGCCAACGATAAATTATATTACATAGACACTCCAACGAGACAAGTAGTAGAATATGCTTACGACGAGGAAAGCGGTATAATAAGTAACAGACGTGTTGCTTTTGACATGAGGAATTACTCTGATCGACTTGGTGGAAATCCCGATGGAATGACAATCGATGAAGATGACAATTTATGGGTGGCTTTGTTTGGAGGTGGAGCTGTTATTAAAGTTAATCCTGCCAATGGTCAACTTTTGCAAATTGTGGCAATACCAGCAGAGGATGTTACTTCAGTAATGTGGGGCGGACCTAATCTGGATGTCTTGTATGTGACTACTTCAAGATATAGTCTCAGTCAAGAAGACAGGCTGAAGCAACCAGTTGCTGGTGCTGTGTTTGGAGTTGTTGGATTGTACACTAAAGGGTTGCCGATGAATGCAGTTGATCTTTTGGGATCTATTGATGACCAGGTATTCAAGTAATCTTATAGTTTTATGTATCATTCCTTACATGTGATGATTTTAGAGTTGTGGAACTACAAGAAATTGAATTGTGACCTGGGTGCCCGGAACATGTATATTTTCAAATCAAATCTTAATCTCATTCTTTTAAACAATTATTCTTGTCGAAAATTCAACATTGTAAGGATTGCTTTTATCCATTTTTGTAAAGAAGCTTAAATAAAATTCATTTTACATTTAACGATACGATTTCTTTTATAAGTATATAGTTTACATTTTATCGTGTGGCGTGGACATGAATAAAACATAACATAACAAAATTATAGACATCATTGTTTTTAGTATCTAATTACATTCATTACAAATCTTAATTAAAAATAGGTACGGTACCTACCTACTTGAAAGGTAGGTATAATTTCAAATGATGATTAAAAGTCCGTGTAATAAAAATTTTAATAACACAGAAAATTGCAAACTATTGAAGATAACGACTAAAACAGAATTCCTAACTTTTTAAAGCATACCTCACCTAATGGAGTGATGAGGCTAGTTACATGCGTACCCTTCATTCTCATAACCAAGGTCAAACTTATCTTATAATTGAATTTTTCAACATACGCAAAGTAGTTGAACTTGAACTTCAAGTGAGGCAAGATTCAAGAGATAATTATGTGGCACTTTATTTACATCACAATAATTTCTTTTTTACAAATAGCTTCAGGGTATGTATTAATAAATTTGTGGCAAAATATTAAATAAGAAATGTGGTTAAATTAAATTAAATTTAAGATTAAACAACTTCGACGTCCCCGCTTTGTATCAGATTACCGAACCGCTAACTCATGGAGAGTGTCCGTCATGGGACAGCAGAAACAATCTTCTTTACTTTGTTGACATTCAGAAAGGACAAATTTACAGCTATAATTACACAAACAAGGAAATTACATCCATAATATTGGACGGATTTGTTGCACCTGTCGTTCAGTCAAAATCAGATCCAAATCTTCTTATTGTTGGCCTCGATCGGTCCATTGTTGCAGTAAAATGGGACAGAGAAAATGGTAATTATACTAGTAAAACACTGGTTACGGTAGCCGAAGATAAACCAGATTCGACCATGAATGATGGAAAGGCCGACAAAAGAGGAAGGATTTGGTTTGGTAAGAACAATAATTATTTTGTTTAAATTATGCAAATCATAAGTTGTTTTTTAGGAACAATGGATTATGATGCTGATACTAAAAATCATCCAGATAAAGGGAGTCTTTTCAAAGTGACAAAAAACAGCGTTTCAACACCTCAAGCAGTAATAACTCCCGTTAATGTAAGTAATGGAATGGCCTGGAATAAAGCAAACAACAAATTTTATTACATCGATTCGCCAACTCTCCAAATAATAGAGTATGATTATGACGATGTCAAGGGAGAAATCTCAAATCGGCGAGTAGCCTTCGATTTGAAAGACTACAATCTGACTGCAAGTCCAGACGGTATGACCATTGACGTGGATGACAATTTATGGGTGGCGCTATTTGGCGGAGGCTCCGTAATCAAAGTAAATCCACAAAATGGTCAATTATTAAATCGATATCCAATCCCAGCCCAATGTGTCACTTCCGTCATGTGGGGAGGAACGGATTTAGACATCTTATTCGTAACTACTTCAAAACTACGACTTACTGAAGAAGAGATTAAGCAACAACCAGGCGCCGGCAGCGTTTTTGCTTTAACAAATTTGGGCACTAAAGGATTTCCTGTTTTCGAAGCAGACATACTCGATTCGATTTAAAATTTAAGTATTGTTTATTATAATTTAAATAGGTACGATACAAAAATTATACAGTCTTGGATGATCGTTAACCAATCATTATCACACAAACACACTCACACTATTTACAATTCATCATGTTCTCCATCATCCTTGACCTCTTCACTCTCGTCTTCCGGAATGCCATCTTCGGGAAGATCTTCTTCTTCCTCTACCCCTTCATCCAGAGGTACACCCAAAGTTTTCCTCATCATCGCTTCAATAGAGTGTGCAAAATCCGCAGTTTCTCTCAACATATAACCCGACCTGAGCGTTGCCGTTCTGAACAACATCAACGCCATATCTTTGGCAGTAGGATCCGAAGGATCATCGTTGACACGTTTCAGCAATTCACGCATCAACGGATGTCTTGGATTAATCTCCAGAGTCTTCTTCTGGTTCAAATAATAAGATCTCTGAGGATCGTCAGATTTCTGATGGGCGTTCGAAATAGCCAAACGTTCCATATTTCCGGTCCATCCGAACATGCTAGCGACAAGAGCGCACGGAGAATCACTTAGTCTTTCTGAAACTGTTGCTTTGGCGACGTAGTCCTTGAGAGCATCATCGCTCAACCATTTCGTCAATGGCTCAAATGTTGTTTTCAGCTGCTCTAATTGTTCCTTTCCACCTTCACTTTCGGTCAAACTAAACCCTTCCTTGGCCACATTCTGGAATTTCTTGCCTTCGAATTCGGGAATTGCCGAGATCGCGTATTCATCGACAGCTTCAACGAGATACAAAACTTCGTAGCCTTTACGTAACAAGCGTTCAACAAAAGGTGATTTTTGTACTTCTTCTTTGGATGAACCAGCAATGTAAAAAATGCGTTCTTGTTTAGGTTTCATACGTTTGACGTAATCGGCTAAAGAAGTCATTTTGTCGCTATGAGAGGAATGGAATTGAAGAAGTTTAGCCAATCGGGTACGATTTGCTGGATCTTCAATTGTTCCAAGTTTGATATTTGTGGAGTATTCTTTCCAGAATTTCTCATAGTCTTCTTCAGATATCTTCTTCAACATATCTAAAACTTTACGGACCAATTTCTTTTTAATAACTTTGATAAGCTTGTGTTGCTGAAGAGTTTCACGGGAAACGTTCAAAGGTAAGTCATCTGAATCAACAACACCTCTTACGAAGCTCAAATAAGATGGAATCATGTCGTTAAATTCGTCAGTGATAAATACTCGTCTCACGTACAACTTAATATTGTCAGTTTTGGTACCATATCTGTTAAAACTTTCAGACGGTTGTACTTCTGGTACGTACAGGAGAGCCTTGAAAGTGACTTCCCCTTCAGCAATAAAGTGAACTTTTGCTAAAGGTGCTTTACTGTCTTTAGTTAACGACTTGTAAAACTCATCGTATTCTTTGTCTTCAACTTCTGACGGTTTTTTCGTCCAAATTGGTTTACTGTCATTCAAAAGTTCCCAATCCCAAACAGTCTTATCAACTTTTTTCGTCTTGGGTTTTTCTTCTTCTTTCTCTTCTTCAACAGCTGCCTCATCTTCAGTATCAGGCTTTTCCTTTTCTTCAGACTTCTCATCCTCTTCGATGGGTTCTTCAACTTGTTCAGTATGACTCGTCCACATGTAGATTGGGAAATTAATAAACTGGGAATATTTCTTAACTAAAGAACGGACAGTGTCATGTTCAAGGAAATCTTTAGCTTCAGGTTTCAATTGAAGACTGACTGTCGTGCCCCGTTTTAACGAGTCACCTCTAGGATCGTCAATAATAGAAAAGCTTGACGAATCAGACTCCCAAATGTACTGTTTATCGTCGTTATGTTTTGTTGTTACAATGACTTTATCCGCAACTAAGAAGGCCGAATAGAATCCAACACCAAACTGGCCAATCATATCGTTCATGTCCTGAGCCGTAGACGCATCTTGCATTTTACTCAAAAATTCGGCAGTGCCCGATTTGGCTATAGTACCCAAGTTGTTAACGAGATCCTGTTTGGTCATACCGATACCAGTATCAGTAATATGAAGCATTCCTGCCTCCTTGTCGGCTTTGATACGGATATTCAACTCAGGATTTGAATCCAGCACATTTTTATCTGTCAGTGACAACAAACGTATCTTATCCAAAGCATCAGAGGCATTAGAAATTAATTCCCTGAGGAAAATCTATAAAAAAAAAATTGTTACAAAATATCTTTAAAATAAGATTTCAAACTCACTTCTTTATTTCTATATAAAGAGTTGATGATGAGTTTCATCATCCGATTAACCTCCGTTTGAAAAGTGAATTTTTCCGCTTTCTCGCGTAGTTCTTTTAGCTGGGCAACATTGAGACCGTCCAATTTAATTGCTTCTTCTTCCCTTTTAACGACTTCATCATCTGAAAAACGTACAGGTATTGATCAAACATGAGTGAACAACAAGAGAAAACAAATCAGTCGGGTTTTAAGAAAAAAAATCCTTTCAAACTGTGTTTCGCTCCACAAAATTTAATTGGAAAGTCTAATATACAAATTGGAAAACCATTAAAGTTACGTAAGTTTAGCCTGAATTTTAATTAGTACACTTGAAGCACGTAATTTTTCTTGTCGACTCAAAAATAAATTTAATAATTCAACAATAAAAGATGTGCATTTACAAAGTTTTTGAATTTTTTGCTGTTATGTGAGATGACAATAAAGATACCGGTGCAAAAACAAGAATCCTTTTTTAAACTACCTAATAAATGCAGATAGAGCTTCTCAATTGTAAAAAAATTGATGTAACAATAAATATTATGTTTAAATAGTTTTTGCGACTAATGGAAAATAACATTTCAAACTATAACTCTCTAAACTATAAATCTTATTTTTGTACTAAAAACATTATTTTTGCAGCAAGTACAATTACACCCAAATTTTATTGTAAACATGAATCTGAGTTCCAATGCAAAAACGATGATTTAAAAAAACAATTAGAATATTTAGATGTAAAAGGACCCAGAGAAAAATACAAGGACCCACTCACTGAAAATCAAAGGTAAAATACAGTAAATAAATATTATTCTTAATTAAGATTATAAAACAAAAATAGTTTTCTCTAGTTAAGCTCACTTTATCACGATAAAGTAATAAAAATTAGAAACATTTTGCTTAACAATAATAAAGATAAAATATGTTTTAATCTGCTGTTATAATAATTTTGTAATAATACATCTCGTGCCATTTCTATCGCCACATTGCCAACGTCACAAATGCGTTTTTTTTTTTTTTTTTGGTGAAATACACCACAAACATTTGATTTCTGTTTAAAAGAAGAATCTGTGTTACAACTGCCAAATTTACAGCCAAACCATTTCATAGAGAAAACATTATAAAATGTGACAGAATAGCGGTAGAAATGACACGAGATATACTTAATTAAATGTGAGCAATAATAATAGCTGTCGTTAATTTAAAATTGTCATTCATTTTAACGTTAAAGCTTGAATTACATTGAAGTCTCAGAAAAGTGAACCAAAGTATTTTGTCTCCAACTGTACCTAACTATTTTATATTTTTCATCTGAAATTAATATAAAATAAAATTGTTATTATAGGTATGGTTGGTATCAAGTGCAATTAACAGATTTGGACAGGTCTGACAGAAGACTCCACTTTGCCAAACAAACAAATCCCATTGTAAAAGAACACTTAATGAATTACGAAAATATACGTTAAATTACCTGTTCTTGACCCTTCTCTACTAGCCCCTAAATCCAAGTCAACCTTTTCGACCGTTCCTTCCCCAATAGATTCATCTGCTCTTGTGAATCCTAAAAATGCTAATTGAAAACCACTAAAAGCTAAACTAATTTTTATATTTACCAATTAAAAGCAATAAACTGACCACTAAAAATATCAACTGCTTCATTTTTTCAATAAAAATAGACCTTTTTAATTCATTCAGAACAACATTGGTATTAAACGTGACACCTTACAAATCAAACCAAATTTCAGAATGATGACAGACCGGGCTTCTAGAAGAGTTTACACCGAAATATAGCCAATCAATTCGCACCACGCTGGGTGACGTAAGTTTAGTATTTTCTCTTCACCAATTACGGAGAGCAAAATCATCACACATACAAATGGCGGCTTTAGATTGGTTATTAGTTTGATTATTAAAATGCGCCAAATTTGAATTTGTCGAAAAGAGAAGTAAACCCATATTGAAAATTCTAATAAAAATAAAACAATTAAAAAAAAGGTTTATTTAAGAGTTACATCATATATTTTTCTTTATTATCTGACAAAATACGAGCTGAAGACTTTGCATCTAAAAATAGAGAACTAACTTCTTCAACGTCTGCTTTAGTAATAGTATCTCTGCCATTAGTTTTGGCCGTTAAAGACGCGGGCGTAAGTAACTGTACTGCATATCTTAAGGTGGCCCTCGACCCAACATCGCCTAAAGTCGAAAGAGCTTCCGGCTCAATTTCCAAGCCTTCAGTGGACGCTCTCAACTTTAAAATTTGTTCTAATTCAGATCTGGAATATGGTAAAGTGCGAATTATCACTAAACGATCCAAAAGATCCAAAGGAATGCCATGAGGGGCTACAATGTCATCTGTGCCTCTAATTACACAACGCCCTCTATTTGTCGCAAAAATAACAATAGGTGCAATTGCACTCTCTAGTGCTCTGTGTAAATAAGTAAAAGTTTCAATATCCAACATGTGAATTTCATCAATGAAAAGTACTCCTGGAACTAACTCGGCTATCCCTTGGTCGATGTATTTATCAACAACTTTGTTTATTTCACGGCGTAGTTTGTCGGTTATTTCGGTTTTCTTCGGTTTCAAAAGTTGGCCCATCATTGAGAGAACGTCTTGTCCACCTTGAGGCTTGGCATTTGCGGCATCTAAATCGTGAAGAGTTACATCCTTAAAAAAAATATGAAGCAAAGCAATAAAATGTTTTTTATACGTACTTGAACCACTTCTTTCTTCTTATGAACTTCTCCTTTTGGAAGTGGTACATATTCCTCAGCTTCTAAATCAAATTCAGTTGCATATCCATCAGATCTTCCTTGACGCTTAACAGCCCCACTGTTGGCTTCAATATAAATTACGTCACCTACTTCAACTTTTTCTTTCTGGAGGGCTTCATATATGCTAGGGTCTAATTTCAGTTGTTTGCTACCTTTTGCTGTTTTTAAGCCAATGATGACATGGCTCACAGTTTTTCCATAACCTAAGATAACCAAACGCAAATCATGTATTCAGTCAGTGGTATAAAAGTACAACCTCCAGCGGGATTCTCTGTTTCAACAGGAGTCAACTCAGTAACCTCCCCTTCATAAACCTCCTTAGTTTCCCTAATGCGCAACCCTATAGCCCTCCGAAAATTTTCCATTAAGACTTCTGTCTTCTTAATTTCAGAACTGTAAACTTCCGACCCGACCATAGGACAAAATGGCACTTTATTACCCAATTCTTGTGCGATGGCCAATGCTATTGCAGTTTTCCCGGTCCCAGGAGGACCTGCTAAAAGTACAGCTCGGCCAGCCATTTTTTTACTTCTTATCATATCTACGACTATTCCTGCGGCCTTAAAACACAAGAATTAGTTGAATTTTACTTTAAAAAATTGTAACCTAACCTCTCTGGCTTGTTCTTGACCGACCAATCCAGCTGCTGTAGGTAGCGCGAAACCATTTTCGTCCAATCCTAAACCTTTGATGTGGCTGTGGGCACTTATTCGTTGGGTTTTCACCGTGCTTTTTACTTCTTCAATCTTCATTTTTGAGAAATCACGCTAACCAAACTTTGTTTGATCAATTTGATTTTTATTGTTGTGATGTTGGTATGGCAACTTGGCTACAACTAAATTTGGGGATTTTAGTGACATTTGGTTGGTGACAATTATTTTGAATTTTTGGAGAAAATTTTAAAATATTTCTATTATATTATCATTTATTAACCATCGAGTTGTGTGATAGATTATAGTAAAAACATTGTGTGTCATCTATGTTTAACGTTGTTGAGATTTTTTTTTTTACATTAAATTAAATTAATTTGTGATGGATCGCACTGATTGCAGTCAGCTGAGAAAGAACTTGTCAACATGACAGTCCTTTGCTAATTCAATTATTGAAAACTTTCTAATTTTCCTTTAATGAATACTTTCGATTTTAACGATTATAAATAAATTCCACAGCAGGTGAGTATTTCTATTTGACGTGTTTGTTTGTCTCTTTCTCGACTAGTAGCAGTAGCTATCGCTGTCTTTCAGGTTCAAACCATCGGCCAAAATCATGTGATTCGTTGTACACCAACCAAGCTCCAATGACAGTCGTTCTGACTGGAGCTTAGTAATTGATTATTACTTTAGTTAAGGCAGTTCAACTATTAGGTGTCAGTGATTGTGGATGAGTGAGTGGAAACAATATACAATTGATAGGAAAACTGCTTGGTCACGATCACTCAAAAATTAAAATATTTCAAGAGAAAAGTACAAGAAGATGAAGTAAAATGGCACCCAGTTTTAGCAAATATGTGACACGAAACAACGCTCTTGCAGCCGCTGGAGCATCTACAGCATTGCTATGGATTTTATTATCAAAACGAAAAAAGAATGCTTATAACCTGGACAGGTATGAAAATTTCCCTTGTTTTCACAGTTGTTTGAATCTTTGGGTTTTGTAGGAGAAAAGTGAGGAAAACTGTGGATGAGGAAGTCAAATATTTTATATCTGAGAAGAAAGAAAATAGGATTAAAGCCCAAGTTGATAAACAATTTCTTAAACAACTTAATCATCTACTTAAAATTATTATCCCAGGATGGACTTCACCTGAAGCTGGATTTCTATTCCTAGTTGCTGCAAGTTTAGTTACCAGATCTGTTTGTGATTTATGGATGATAGATAATGGAACTAAAATAGAAAGGTAATAGTGGTAGCAACAACAATGAGTTGTTGATTACATAAGTTAAGGAAGCTTAGAGGTTATGTAATTGCATTCAAAATCTGAACTGTATGTAGTTAAGTAAAGGTTTTTAAAGGCTATGAGTTTAAATATTTATACAATATTAGCTAGCATTAATAGTTTTTCGCTAATTTCATATGAAAATTAAATTATCCTTTAAATTATCTTCTTATTGTAAAAAGCAATGGTTAAAAGTGTGCAATTACATTATTTTAAGCAAAATAGAAATGGTGACGTTTATCATCGTGACTTGATTATACTGGTACAAAACTCAGTGTTTTAATTAAAATTCATTAACCTTGAGGGGTTCATTATCTGTTTTAATTTAAATAGGAAAAATACCATCAATGTTTTACTGTTGTATAGATTTTGCCTCCACTTATTAATGTTGACACAGCTGCTTTCACCCTACAGTTAATATTATTTTTTTAATAACACGTGTTGTGAGAAAATTTCGTAACCTAAATGGTACATGGTCTCGCTTTTCGCTAGACTGCTATACTGTTATGTAATTATATTTTGTTTCTAATCATGCATTGATTGTTTGTATACAGACCTGAATTACTCATTCCTTACATTTTTTTTATGGTAAACATGCTTATTATTATTAAATACGGAGTGCAGATAGTTGCTAAGCTGAATGACGTAAATGTATGTATTGTGCATCATTTTTAATGAGAACCGTGCTCATTTGCTGATGGAAATTTTATTACTTTAATGAACTGTGTACTCTACCTTTCTCTTAAAACAATCAGTGACAAGAATAGAAATTATAATTAATTAGAGCTTATTCCATATCTGCTGGCGAACTGACAGTGACAGAAAAGACACTTGGAGTGCGCCCACTTGGTTAAGATAAAAAAATACATGGGCGTACTTTTTTTCTCTAAAAATTTTGAAGACAAAGATTGTTAGGAATATCATTTTTGAAAATTCTTTTCATGCGTTAACAATTTAATAATTTGTTCATCATTCTTCATCTTATGTACGAGTACCTACTTATTATATTTTTTTAAAGAATGACAGTGGTTTTGAAATATTATTTCATACGACGCCTATGAACAATATTTTTTTTAATAGTAAACATACGTTTAGTGTCAATATTCAGTCATTTTTGACAACGTCAGTTCGCCACCAGATTTGGAACAAGCTATAGTAGTAAACACTCCTTATTCATAATTTTTGTAAATGACACAAATGATCAAAGAATTAGAATAAGTTATAGTACTGTATGGCAACATTGTTACAAAAATGTGGTATGTACCTAACATATTTTTGTAATGCAATTTGAGTGGTCTTTAACAATATTTATTTCGAGAACATTAATACAATTTAATCGTTTTCATTTTAAAATACATTGATTTGCATCTTTTTTTACTCCTTTCTCTAAAGTGTCACATTTTGCACTGACAAAAATCATGTGTAAAGCGTCATTTTATATAAGATTACTCATTAGAAACGAATTGTTGTCGAGTCAGTTGTTTTCGACAATTAAACACGCTTGAAGTTTTATTAAACACGGCTGTTATATTTAGTTGACATATCAAGTTTGAGTTGAAATAATTTATGTTTTATTTGTTTATTTGGTCGTAGAAAAAGTATAGTATGCAACACGTTTTATGTACTTACTTATTTATTAAACACTCGCTTTGTTTGTGCCTAACTGTGAGTAAGTGTCGTTTAAAACACTTGTTGCATAATACAGGGTGATTCTTAAATAGAACGACAAAAACTTACCCTTGGTAGTATCAAATGAGAACATGCTGGATAAAATATTTAAAAAATTCTTTGTTTAACCGTTCTCCAAATAAAATTTATTAAAGTTATTTTCGAGGTAAAGCGTACGCCACTGATGTGTTCGTAAATAGTATTAGCACAGGTAGTGGAAACCGTGGTATTAATTTGATCAAAATGTACTTGATCATTGCAACAACAATTCATAAACGCCGTAAGTGGCACGGATCAAGGGGGTTTTGCCCCTACAAAATATAAACGTAAAAAGGGTACAGTTTGTCTCCATTTATACTAGGGAAGCTGTGATAAAATTTTGTCGGTCTATTTAAGAAAAATATTACGAGAGGATTTTTGAATGTTTCTATTTTTTTTATTTTGTTATAAATTGTAAGTTTATTTGCGTTTGTTATACCTTATCAACTCTATTAACAATGAAAAAATACAGGGATGTTCCGTTTTTATTGTTACAAATTTAACCAGATGATTTTAAGATAAAAGTTTCCTATAAACATGTATCGAAAAATATTATATAAGGGAGCTACATCCTGAAAGGGGTGCTTCTTTTAATGGATTTTTTCCAATATTTCAGGAACCATATTGTAGATAAAATTACAAAATTTCGCACAACTGATCACCTTTATACACCCAAACGAATGCAAAGATAAAATGTCGAAATTTTTACTTAAGGGCGTCCTAAACTGGGGGGATAAAAAGTACCCTAACTATTTTGGGTGTTGGTTTTTGCCACTTTCAGCCCCAAATTTCTAAGTTTTATAGTTTTTTACAAAAACGAGGTCTCTTCCGTTTTTTCGACACAATTTATCGTTTTTGAGTAAAATTGGTTTACAATGTGTCTTACAGACCTTAAAGAGGATAAAAATGAAAAAGCAAATTCGTTTTGCCGTTTAAGAATTTCGTGATTAAAAATTTTGACAACTGATTTTTAAATTCGTTCAAGTGTTCAAAGGTTATCATCTGTACCAACTTTTGTAATTTTATCTATTCTGCAATAGTGCGTTTTCGCACTTTTTTAATGAGGTTTTCCCCATTAAAAAAGGCATCTCTTTTAGGGGGTGTAGCTCGCTTGTATAACATTTTTTGATACATGTTCATAGGAAACGTTTGTCTTAAAATTGAATATTCTATCACCTGATCAAATTTGTAACTATATTAACGGAACACTTTGTATACTTTATGTGAAGAAATGTTTATTTATAATCAATTCTGTTACTGTTACAGACGCTGTCCTAAAAGTCGTATTTCTTTGTTTCAGTGCTATAGTTTCTATGGACAAGAATCTTTTTAAAAGGCGCCTTATAAAATTCATCGTCGCTCTTCCATTAATAGCAGTGGTAAACAACATCCTCAAGTTTTCGATTGGAGAACTTAAATTAAGATTACGCACAAATATGACACGTCGTCTGTACGAAGAGTATCTCAAAAACTTTACATATTATCGCATGTCTAACCTAGACAACCGCATCAGCAACGCCGACCAACTTCTAACCACTGACGTCGATAAATTTTGCGAAAGCGTATCAGAGCTTTATTGTAATACTGCTAAACCACTTCTTGACATTGGCATCTACGTCTATAAACTCTCATCAACTTTAGGTGGAGGTACGCCAGCGTTGATGTTGGGTTATTTATTTGTATCTGGGGCGTTGTTAACCCATTTGAGAAGACCCACAGCGAGATTAACAGCCGGAGAACAGAAGCTAGAAGGCGAATTCAGACATATCAATTCACGATTGATAACGCATTCTGAGGAAATAGCTTTCTACAATGGAAATTCGCGCGAAAAAGCGACCTTGTTATCTAGTTATAACAAACTATTAAACCATTTGAGGAAATTTTTGCGGTTTAGGGTCTTTATGGGTGTAATTGATAATCTAGTGGCTAAATATTTTGCCAGTGTTGTCGGATTTTGGGCTGTGTCTTTACCATTTATGTCACAAGCACATTCGCTCGCCGGTTCGCAACATGGCGAAAGGTCCCGATTGTACTACACTTACGGGCGAATGTTGGTAAAACTGGCCGAAGCTATAGGTCGGCTGGTTTTAGCAGGCCGTGAGTTAACTAGATTGGCTGGCTTTACAGCACGAGTGACGCAATTAAGACAAGTTCTCGATGAATTAAATCAAGGAAATTATGAACGCACGATGGTCACAGGGGCCGAAACGTTGAAAGCAAACGGCGGCAAATTTATCTTTCAAAACAATATAATTAAATTTGATCGAGTACCTTTGATCACACCCAATGGGGATGTTTTGATCAAAGAAATCAGTTTTGAGATTAAATCCGGAATGAATGTCTTAGTTTGCGGACCTAATGGAGCCGGAAAATCGTCATTGTTTAGAGTTTTGGGCGAATTATGGCCGTTGTTTGGAGGAGAGTTGACTAAACCGCCGCGTGGAAAATTGTTCTACATTCCTCAAAGGCCGTATATGACTTTAGGATGCCTAAGAGATCAGTTGACTTATCCACATTCGGGTTCTGAGGCTTTAAGGAGGGGCACCAGTGATAAACAATTGGAGGAACATCTTCATAGGGTTCAGTTAGGGTACTTGTTGGAGCGCGAGGGAGGCTTGGACGCAATCGCTGATTGGCTAGATGTTTTAAGTGGAGGGGAGAAACAACGTATTGCTATGGCACGTCTGTTTTATCATAAGCCTCAGTTTGCTATTTTGGATGAATGTACCAGTGCTGTTTCGGTGGATGTTGAAGGAAGCATGTACAAGTATTGTAGGGAAGTTGGTATAACACTGTTGACAGTGTCACATAGGAAGTCTTTATGGCAACATCACGAATACGTTTTACACTTGGACGGGAGAGGAGGGTACTCTTTCCGGCCTATAGAAGATGTAACAGAGCAATTTGGGTCTTAATTAGTGTTAAGATTTAGGAAAATTCATACAATGACTACATTACAATTGATCATGAGAAGATCAATTTTTAATTAAAAACAATGAATTTTTTGTTCATGGCCTTCTGTGTTTACTCGATACAATAATGTTTTTCCGTATTTGATATATTGGTGGTTTTATAGTTAAAATGGCGCACAAACAAATTTAACATTATTTTGTATTATGTTTTATGTATTTATATGTATATGACTTGGATTTTAAAAAGACAGTCTATTTTTAGAAAAATATACATTATGGGATTTTATAAAATGTTTGCAAAAATATAACAAATAAAACAATCTCTTGGTTTGTTATTGCGAGAACAATTCTCTGATCAGAATTTTTTTTATCAATAACTAATAAACTGGAAAAATAATTTAACTGAATTTCTACTTTTTTTTGGACAGAAAGCAAAATTAAAAATATGTTACAAACAATTCTGGTTTCTGTATCCATGGCCTACTGTGGTGTCTTTTTTAAATTTTATTTATAATTATGAGGTCAAATCTCTCATATGAGGTCACGGTCTTTTTTTCAAGTTGTAGGTTATTTATATGTCTCTTTCACTCTTTGATTTAAAAGTTTTATGTGTGGCCTAATATGGTGTCTATTAGCTTACCTAACTTGATATACTTTCCTACTTGTTATATTTTTTTGTTTAAAAAACTGTCAAAAGAGAAATTTGCGTGTAACGTGTAATAGATTGCTCTAGACACTTCTTAAGTCAGTCTACATGAAAGTAAAAAAAAATACTTCTGTTTTTCTAGTCTCAATAATTCAAAATTGTACTTACACTTTTTGAATTAATGAAAACAAATGAACAAAATAATTTGTGTAATAAATTAAATGAAAGATTTTGTTAAATGTATAATGTTTGTACCTACCTATGTTAAACTTTTTGTTAAGTCATTTTGGTGTTGGAAAAGAAAACGTTGCAATAAAAAAGGTTATTTATTTTTATTAACTAGGTATATCAAAATATTTATTTTTTACCTTCAGTTGCAGGTCTAATCCGTCGTAATTGTAGGGATTAATAGATTGCTATATTTTTTGAAAATATTTTATTGGAACATGTGCACATTAAAGTCAAACAGCTATGTATTTAAAGCGAGATGTAGTGGATTTATGTCCACCTAACAAAATTAATAGCAGTAGAATGTGATATAATTGTTGTTTGAACAAATCGATCCGTTAGTTCAACAACAATAATTGTTTTCCTAGATTTATTATACACAACAAGAAAACCTGGTAACATGCTATAAAATAAATATTTATATCATAACACCATAATTCTGCATTACTATGTTATCCTACTAATAGAAAATACTTTTTAGGAACAGCGTAAACTTAAAGCTATAAGCTAATTCACTATAAATACTGTTTGTAAATCATTTAGGTAAGCTCGCGGAAGCATACAAACAATCACAAACAGGTCATAAAACCATTTAAGCATGACCCCACCCTTTTGTAAGTCTTTTCCACAAACTAGGTTTATCTATATTGGCAGGTGGAGGTTGATCGTTTTTAATTTGTTCTAAAAATCCCGCTGATGTTTGCGTGGGCGAATTTGGTTCGACCGCCGCATCCCCAATTTCCCGCAAGTCTCTCATCATTTTTTTTCTTATAGTCTTTTTCATACTTAAGTGTCTTTCTAAAGTCTTGTATTTATGTTTGGTCCGATTATCTACATTGTTTTCGACAACAGGAACTCGCGGATTTTCTTTATCCACTTCTTTATTGCAGTTCCATATATCACGCACATCTCTTATTTTTCTATCGTTGACTGAAGACATTTTTCATAGTCGTTTCTGCAAAACAAAAAAAATTATTTGTAAGAAAGTTGAACGGTAAAAACAAATGCAAATTCACAAAACGCTTTTCTCCTCCAAAACTTATTTATTTTAGAAAGTTATTTACTTGTGTAGTTTTAGATTGCTTTATTCATGTCATTTTAATAAAAAATTAGCATGATATTCAAGAAAATGATAGATAAAAGGTGAAATTCTACTTACTTTCGATCGAACAATATTTAATGATGTTATAGCAAATTTTTTTATTGTATATTGCTAGTTTGTAAATGGACAATAAATTTTTGATCTATTTTTAAAACTTACCTCATATTTTTACTTATAAATAAAGCTAGAGATCAATGGAAGGTAACATGACTTAAGTTACTGTAACTTAGTTCTTTATGTCTTTGCTAGTTCAAGGTAAACGACTTTAGCACAATTTTTTTCACTTAAAACTCACTGCATTTTATATTTTTATACAAAATAAATTGAACTTGAATTACGTCTTAGGGTACTTACCTTTGTTCGGACGTTTTTACATGTTGTTTCTTGGAGGAACGTGTTTCGTTTGTGTTTAATGCACTCTACTGAACTTTTACTTTCAAATGTAGGCGATCAAGTTTATTTCTTTGTTTTCAAAGTTGATCTTTTTACTTTCCTTGCATACAGAAGCGGTAGATTTAAAACTACGATATGAAATGAGGTAATCCGTCATTTTCACGTAAATAATCGATTGTTTTAAGGAGAGTATTAAGAAATTGCAGATAACAACGCCCATATAACTATTCATCGAAATCGTAAATAATCGCCAGACGGCTCAAAAATTTATTCTCATTAACAATTAACGTAAATAAAATAGCCACAAAGCAGTCAAACTCATTAGATTCATTATATTAAAATACCAAAAAGATTGTTTTATCATTTACAAAATATTTCAATTTCGCAGTTATGTTTCCAAGAAGAGGATTAAATAGCGTCAACAAGAAAGATAAGATTAAAGGAAAATTCAGTGGCAATACGAGGTATTTGAATTCCCGCCACATTTCATAACAACTTGAAAGCGCCCAATCAGAAACCTCCAAATGTACAGATACTTTATTTGCGAATGGTACACGTTAGCATTTAATCAATTGGTCATTCCTTGCGTTAAACAAGGACAAAATTTCAACGTTTATCGCTATCATTGTACACCGTGTTCGCTTTAGCCAATCACATCATTCCATCTGTCGTATTAGTCACGTATCACCGACGTACTGTCGTCCAATCACATCGTTTACAATGCCTTGAGTGTGAGAGCGATAGAGATATTGCGATAAGCGATTTACTTCAGTTTGTATACGTCTGTCTCACTATTTTTCTGGCATTTGTGGTAGATTCGTGGCGAGAATTTGACGTTGCCGATTGTAATATTTTTAGTAAAATTATTATAAAATGAAGTCTTCTTTCTTGGTGTTTATGTTAAGTGCATATTTTTATGCATCGAATGCTGAAGTATATCTTGAAGAAAAATTCCAAGATGGTAAGTTTTTTTTAAGGGCTAGGTTGTTACACGCCGGTTCAGGAAGTTCGAGAATCTTGCTTTATTTTTTAAGGACATAGCTAATTTTCCCTAATTGCAGATTCCTGGGAAAAGAATTGGATATACAGTAAACATCCGGGGAAAGAGTTTGGAAAATTTAAGTTGACTGCCGGGAAATTTTTCAACAATGAGGAAGAAGACAAAGGTAATGGGTTTGCTCTTGCGACAATGTTTTTCTAGCTGTACTTCTGTTGAAAATCTTTAAATGTAGTACGTTTTCACATATTTTTCATTAAAAAAAATGTAAAAAAACATGAAATTGTCATCTTCAAAAATTGAATTTTGAGAGAGTTTTTGATATATAATTGAAGTCTGAAAGCGATTTTCTTTTTGCATAATAGATGACTGATTAGTAATTATTGATCACAAATGTGCAAATCAGAATAATTTCTTTTAAATTGCATTTACTGTACTTAGGCGCTCATTATGAATAATGTCTAATGTATCTTTAAAAGGGTGACCAGTTTTACTTTCATTTCAGTCTCCCTATCATGGTTTTCAAATTTCTTCTGAATGGTAAAACTTGTGGTTATCTTGTATAATTGGAGATAAGAAATTTATTTAATTTGTGTCATAACTTCTGATAATTTGAGTGATAACTTGGAATACTTTTTTGGCCAACGAGGCAACTGATAAGGTGACATATGGACAGGTTTAAAAAACAAATATTACTTAATTATAAAAGAATTATTTATTTTCAAATAAATTTGGAAATTACATAAATAAATAATTTTCATTAAATAAATGTGAGAAAAAACAGTAAAAATTTGATACTTGACTCAAAATTAAACCTAAACATAATTTTATTACATATTTAGTTCGGATGTATTTTTGGATTTGACGTCGTTGTTTTTTCACCTTTTCAACAATGTATGATGCCAATTCATCCTGTTTTACATCAAGAAATATATTTCTTATTCGGAAATGAGAAATTATGTCAACGATTTTCTATAGATAATAATTTGATGATTCGCGCACTTTATTTGTAATTTTAAACGATTCTGTCATAAACATTTGAACGAAGAAAAGATACATCTGATTTCTAATTTTGAAAGAATGAAACTCAATTTTTGAAAATATGTATGTACTTATTGAGAAAATGCTTGTTGCATTTGGATTTAAATTTTGCACTTTTCAGTTAAATGGCGGAAAAATTTTGTTTTTAAAATTCAAGTGCCTGTGGTTATATACATATTTTGAAATTCAAATTTGACAGTTCGTCTTCAAAAGTTGTAATTACAAAATTGTCAATTGTGATATACTCTGGTTTGATTTTTATTATTGAATGATACTTACACTATAACGGATTATAAAACTATTATATAATTCAACTACTTATTAACATAAAAAGTACACGACATGCAATATACTAGAATAAGAATATTTAAAATAAACAAATATTTATTATCTATTCTTTATCTGAACCATTTTTTTTATCTTGGATGAATTTGTATGATCTTTTTCTAATATTTTTTTGGAAAATGTGATTCTTTTCTATGCATTTATTACCAAACCGGTAATTACGCAAGCACCTCCGCCTTGCACTGATAGATTTCTCCTTGTAGGTATCCAAACGTCACAGGACGCCCGATTCTACGCACTAAGCAGAAAATTCAAACCTTTCTCAACTGAAGGAAAGGATTTGGTCATCCAATTTACAGTAAAACACGAACAGAACATCGACTGCGGGGGAGGTTACATTAAAGTCTTTGATTGTTCCCTTAATCAGGAGGATATGCATGGCGAATCACCATACCGTATTATGTTCGGTCCAGATATCTGCGGCCCCGGCACTAAAAAAGTCCACGTAATCCTCAACTACAAAGACAAGAACGTACTAATCAACAAAGATATCCGCTGCAAAGACGACGTATATACACACGCATACACTCTGATTATCCGGCCCGACAATACCTATGAAGTCCAAATCGACGGTGAAAAAACCGAAAGTGGCGAATTGGAAGCCGATTGGGATCTCCTTCCACCCAAGAAGATCAAGGATCCTGAAGCCAAAAAACCGGAAGATTGGGACGACCGTGCTACAATCCCTGATCCCGATGACAAGAAACCGGAAGACTGGGACAAGCCGGAACACATCCCTGACCCAGAAGCCACCAAGCCTGATGATTGGGACGACGAAATGGACGGCGAATGGGAACCACCAATGATCGATAATCCTGAATTCAAAGGAGAATGGCAGCCTAAACAAATCGACAATCCTGCTTACAAAGGACCATGGGTGCATCCAGAAATCGATAATCCTGAATACACTCCTGATTCTGAATTGTACAAACATAAGGAAATCTGCGCCGTTGGGTTCGATTTGTGGCAGGTCAAGTCTGGTACCATCTTTGATAACGTTTTGGTGACTGATGATGTAGAGTACGCTAAGAAGGCCCTTTCCGGATTGAAGGAAAGACAAGACGGAGAGAAGAAATCGAAAGAAGAACAAGATAAGGCTGAAAAAGATGCAGCTGCTGCTGAAGAAAAGAAGGATGATAACGACGATGAAGACGACGAGGATGATGATGATGGCGAAGAAGATCATGTGCCACAAGTAGAGGTAACAAATCGCCTTTTCTTCTAGTATTTCTTCTAATTGTTTTCTTTACAGGAAAATCATGACGAGTTGTGAGTGTAAAAGAGACAATTTTTATATCTTACTGTGTGCAGTGTTTTGTTCCATAGTGTGTACTATTTCTTTGACTGATTTTTGTTAATAATGAGCGTATTACTTCTAATAAAACACAAAATCCTACAATAAGTTGTTTTTGTATTCACATTTTATTTGTACAAATTTGAAATAAATTATTATATCTTGTATTTAATTTTATATAGATATGTACACGTACGACCGCTGCTCTTCCATTTTCACTTTTTGTAAGATAATTATGTAAATGGTTAATAAACACGAACCTCCGTTATGAGATTACTTTTTTTTTATGACTACCCAGGTTTGACCCCAAATCACTTTGGTGGCAAAATTATTAGTTGCGGCTATTGCCGCCAGGTGCATTGCAGATGGTGGTAATGTAACAGTGTAGCTAACCGTAGCCGATTTTCATCTTAGATTTTTTTTATAAATGTACGTTTTTTATTTTTTTTGAAATTCCAACTATTTTTTTTTATTAATGTTGATTATAAGATAATCATCAAATGTGGCTCATCAGTGCATTTATATTTTCTTAAAAACCCAAGCGGTAGCTTCGGTATCAACTTTTCGGTTGGCAACACTTTGGTACGAAGTGAGGTTATGTTGTGTTAGGTTAGGTTTGTTTTCCTGTCAGTGCTGTGTAAAGTATTGATTTTCCAGGTTTTCATTAAAACCTGCATTGCAGCATCTTCAATTTGAAGTTACAAAAATATTCTTGAAGAAAAATGGTAATTTATAAAATTATTTGAAATACATAGTTTTTTTATTGTCTTCATAACATGTAAACTAATGAATGTTTAATTTTTTAGTTGTTTAAAGTGGTAAAATGTCCCTCAGATGAGCTGTCATTGACAAACTGTGCTGTCGTGAATGATGCAGACTTTTCACAATCAACAGAGTGAGTCATGATAACTTCAGGAAGTCTTCTAAATCTGATTTGTTCGTAGGCATATTGAAGTCATTACAGGAGGGGTCAAAAAGTATATTTTTTCTATTAAGAAAGATCCGAGAGTTCACAGAAATGAAGTTGGGTTTAGTTTGCCACAAAGAAAATGGGCCACCTTGTCTATTAATGAGGACATTGAAGTTAATCCTTATAAGGAAGAAGATTATATAACTTCTATTGTCCTAGAAGCTGATTACATGCAAAAGAAAACGTCAGTAGTTTGCATTATGTTTATGTACATTTTAACAAGTTAATTTTAGGACATCTCAAGAACAGTATGACACTGATGAAATGGCTAAAGAATTTATTTATTCATTTCCAAACCAAATGTTTACAGTTGGTCAACAACTGGCTTTTCTCTTTAAAGACAAAAAGATGCTTCTTCTTCAAGTGAAGGACATTGAAGGTAGATTGGTTGAAATAATATGAAATTATCGTAAAATTATAAATGTTTCTTTCTTGTGTTAAACTTGCTGAATAATTTTTTAAGTTGTCAACGTCAATACCCTCAAACAGGGTGGCGAAGCCAAACCTAAAAAAGGCAAATTGGGAAAATTGACACCCAACACTGTTATACAGTTTGAAAAAGCCGATACTTCTTCTCTTAATTTAGTAGGCAAAGCTAAAGGGTATAAACAATTTAAATTATAGCATTTATATATTTTTTAAATTGTAGCATGATTGTGCGTCAGTCGATAATTAACCCAGATTGGGACTTCCAAAAAATGGGGATTGGCGGTCTGGGCAAGGAATTTAACGCCATATTTAGAAGAGCGTTTGCGTCGAGAGTTTTCCCTCCCGAAATTGTGGAACAGTTGGGTTGCAAACACGTCAAAGGTATTCTTTTGTACGGTCCTCCAGGTACTGGTAAAACACTGATGGCGAGACAAATTGGGAGAATGTTGAATGCTAGAGAGCCAAAAATAGTCAACGGTCCCCAAATCCTAGATAAATACGTGGGCGAATCTGAGGCTAATATCAGAAGATTGTTTGCTGATGCTGAAGAAGAAGAAAAAAGAGTGACTTTTATCTATTTGTTTGGAAACAAAGGAATAAAATGATGGTATTGTAGGCTGGACCAAACAGTGGTTTGCATATCATTATCTTTGATGAAATTGACGCTATTTGTAAGCAGCGAGGTTCAGTGGCTGGTGCTACAGGTGTTCATGACACGGTGGTGAACCAATTGTTGTCAAAAATCGATGGGGTGGAACAACTTAACAATATTCTTGTCATAGGTTCAGTAGATTTAGATTTCGTTTGAATTTTTTTTACACAAAAAGGGTTTTAGGTATGACAAACAGACGCGATATGATTGATGATGCTTTGCTCAGACCTGGCAGATTGGAGGTTCAGGTTGAGATAAGCTTACCAAATGAGGACGGTCGCTACGAGATTTTGAATATTCATACTAGCAGAATGAGGCAATACAAGAAAATTAGTCCTGATGTTGATACAAGGGTAAGATTAATGTTTTATTACCTAGATCACTACACAAGGTGTACGCTAATACCTTGTTTTAATTTGCCTACTTTAACTTTTTGTCGTCATACACCCACCAACTAAGGATTTTTTATTCGATTGCATCATAAATCGTATCGTCCCCTTAGTGCAACAAGTAGATAACTTAAATTTAGACATTTCTAAAGTATTTTTTGCAATACTTCAAAAACGTAAAACCAAATTTTCTATCAGATTAAAAAAAACATAATTTAGTATATTACACATTGTATGACTAATAATAATAATTTTTGATCACTTTCAAGGTGTAGTTTTTTGTCTTTCAAATTTTTAAACTCCAGTTACACAAAACTATAAATTTCAAGTTATCTACAAAGTGGTTGTAGTGTTTCAAATTATTAACAAAAATACTTTCAAATCTGTTACCAACAGACTTAGTCTTTCTAGATCACTTCGTAGTTGTTGCACTAAGGGGACGATATAAATAGAGCAAGAGCCCGCGGTCGCCAGACTTTCGTCATTTTATAAAAGTTGAAAATTTGTCAGCACATACTTCCTCCAACACAGGTGGGAACGATGGGTAAGTATGAAGTTTGGGTCATTGTGGCTTTGGGAGATAACAGGCCCTTTCTTAAATTACTTTTGATTTTTGCGGAAGCAACTCTACCGAAACTTGATTTGCGGCGTCTTGCACCTCAGGAGTACACATTAACTCGTCTTCACTCGACATCTTAAAATGATTTTAATTTTTTCGTTGTTGATCGAACGTCACATTGACAACGTATGACGTAATAAAAATTTCACGGCAATTTGATTATTTATTTTTTTTATTTTCTAGTTTGTAAAGTTCTTGCAATCGAATAAAAAATTATAGCAGTATACGGCTGCGCCAGAACTCGCGCCCCAGAGAAAAATGCCATATAAGGTAAGATACCAGGAACATGGAAAAAATATAAAAAAAAAATTATCTATAAAAATTTCGAAGTTATGAGGGTTTAAAATTTGCACTTTGACTCTTTTTATTTCTGTTGGAAAAATAATTTTCCAAGTTTGTTCAATGTTATTTGTGGCTTTTATTGGCAAAATTTTTGTCCCTTTACTAAATAATTGTAAAACCATAACAAAATTTTTTGACAGATAGAATTTTTTAAATATTTTTTTATGTTCCTGGTATCTTACCTTACTTGAAAATTTTCTCTGGGGCGCGACTGTTCACGGACGAAAAATTTTTTCGAACTCATTGTTGCCTCGTCCAGCAATTTCCAGCAAATCGCCCGAAATATTTCGTTTTTCGACCTTATGTCATAAATAACTATTTTAAAAGAAAACCAAATAAATCTGAAACATTTTGAACAACTTATATCCTGTTAATACTGCTTTAATTATTTAAATTTTTTTTATAAACAGTGCATTTTCATTGGCGAAGAAGCCTTTATGCTTTCGTTACGTGTTTAATTTTTTAATTTATTTATTGGTCTAGTGTTTGTTCTTTACGCCAAGAAACCAATTTTAATAATTATTAAGTAAATGTTAGTAAACGGATTGTAAACGAGAATTAAAATTCACTATAATATGTATAAGAAAAATTAACTGTAAAATAACAAAACGAAGAGGCCTTTACGGTCTATTAGGAAGTGTTTTATGCGGCATTTTCTAAAGACTAAATCCTGTAATACCTCTTCATTTATTTGAAAAAAAGCATTTTTCGTAATTCCGAATGAATTATATACAATCTGAATAATTGTTTCAGGAACTGGCAACGCTAACTAAAAACTTTTCCGGTGCCGAACTTGAAGGTTTGGTCAGAGCAGCCCAATCCACAGCTATGAACCGCTTGATAAAAGCTGCCAACAAAGTCGAAGTAGATCCAGAAGCTATTAGTAAATTACTAGTAACACGAGGCGACTTTTTAAATGCTTTAGAAAACGACATCAAACCAGTACGTGCCTCCGAGACATTTAACTCACTTTTATCTTACTTAAATTTTTACTAGGCTTTTGGTACAGCTCTAGAAACTTTAGAACAATTTTTAGCTCGTGGAATTACTGTATGGGGTAGTCCCGTCAGCAGTATTTTAGAAGATGGCCGGTTATTTACCCAGCAAGCTAAAGCTACTGACACTTCAGGTATGAAAAAATATTACTAATCGCTTTAACATTGTTTTTAATTAGGTTGAAGTTTTCTAATTGTTCTAATCGAACATGAGCAATTTTGACACAATTTTAAGTACAGCGTAATCATTTAGGACTGTTTAAGTTGGCAACAAATTTGAAAGTATTTTTGTAAATAATTTGTAACACTTCAATCGGGTACCGCTTTGCTTGACAAAGACTTGACGTAAAACCTCTCAAGATTGTTCAATTGTTGTTAATAAGAAGCATACTCCAGTGGTACCTTTTAAAAATTAACAGATTGTTGATCACTTTGTATTAAAAAGCAATACAATTTTTTAAAAATCTGGCATTTTTTGTCAAAACTGATAATTGTGACATAGCAATGGTAATTTATGACTAAAATATTAAATACGTTTACAGTGTTTTATGGGGTTCAAGAAACAAATCCTTCATTTTAACTTTTAGAAATCATAATTGTTATTCTGTACTTATTTCGACTTTATGAAGTACATAAGTAATAGAAATTGTCATATTATAAGGTGACGACCTATTTAGGAATTGTTAAAAAGTGTTATATAAACGTCGTCTTTATAAATTCATGAAAAAAAGAATGCATTTTGATCAAATGTCAAAATTTTTAGGTTAATTTTTATTGTTTTTCATGGTGTTGTGTACGTCGAATCCGCTTTTTTACTTCCTTATCCTGTAAGGAAAGTCTTGTAATCGGCCGAAATTTCACCTACCCAGATTTTTACATGTCTGGACGAATTATAGCTTCAAGACACCAAAAAAGTTGGTTTGGGCCATTGGGTCGTTTGTGTGTGCGTCTGTCTGTAAACAGCATATCTTGAGAACGATAAGAGCTAGAAACTTGAAATTTGGTATGTAAGTTACTTGTAGCAAGGGGATGTAGTACGAAACAATTGGTAAAAATCGGTCGCACTGCTCGGCCGCAAAGACCAAAAGTTGGCCCTAAAGCGGCCTCAAAATTATATGGTTGAAGATACAATAAATTCATAAGAATACAAATTATTTAGAATCATGAAATATACTTGTACTTTATTAAACAAAAACCATTAAATTCGTCCCTGTGTCTTATAAACCATCTTCTCCGCAATCAGGTTATCATATTTCAAGAACTTTATTAAACAGTAATAATAATAATGGGTACCGAACTAAAAAAAAACTCCCCCCAGACTCGAACTTTGATCTATTTAGCGTGTAATCCGGCACGTGGCACTAACGCAAATGTTACACTGAATTATTGTCGTTATTAGGATGTTTTCCAAATAAGTAGGATAAGGAAAGTCGTGTGATGTTCACACCAGATTTTTTGTTATATATGGAATAATCGACTGTAATTACACAACAGGTTTTTTTTATCGAGATAAAAGTGAATTTTTTATGAGAATGTGATTGCTTGATAAATTAATGACACAAACCGTCTACGATAAAAAAAACGAGTCCGAAGGACTCAGTCAATTTTCCCTAAAGAAACCAAATTAAAGTTTAAAAAATTCAATTTTATCCTACAGAAAAAAACCTCGAGCCTAATTCGATGAGATTATTTAATTTAATAAACTGGCGCCAAATTGACGTTTTTGTTTTTACCAGGTTTTTCGGAGTCGTTTGTTCCACATTGTCTTCGATTTTTTCTTGATTCGACGTGCCAAAACGTGTCTAGTGATCCTATCAACATCAATTTACCAGCAACCGGAAGTTGTACTATTTAAATTCCGGCTTTTTAAGTTGAGTCAAAAAAAACTTGTGTTTTGGCCATTGCCGTCTATGTATATTTTCAGTTTCACATTTGGATTCGATAAAATTATCCATTTACAAAATTTTTGTTTCATTAACTCTTACACTAGTTCGTGTTTGAAATTTTATGTAACATTTTAAGGTTTGGTCTCTGTTTTAATCGAGGGTCCACCAAACGCTGGCAAAACTGCATTAGCCGCACAACTTGCCAAAGAATCCGATTTTCCATTTGTTAAAGTGTGCTCACCTGAGGAGATGGTGGGTTATACAGAAACTGCCAAATGCTTACATATCAAGAAAGTGTTTGAGGATGCTTACCGCTCAACACTGAGTTGCATTCTAGTCGATAATATTGAGCGTTTATTAGATTACGGGCCCATTGGTCCTCGATATTCCAATTTAACATTACAGGCACTTTTAGTGTTGCTAAAGAAACAACCACCACCTGGAAAAAAATTGCTTATTTTGTGTACAACTAGTCGAAGGTTTGTGATTTCAATTGTTTACGTCAGTCATTTATTATTTTTTCTTTAGGCAAGTTTTAGAAGATATGGAAATGTTATCTGCTTTCACTGCTATTTTACATTTGCCAAATCTTTCAAAGGCTGATCAGTTACTTACTGTTCTTGAGAATTCCGAAGTTTTTAGTTCACAAGAATTGAAGAAAATTAGCCAACAAATTCATGGTAAACGGTAGGTCTTTCTTAAATTTTGTCATTTGGCTCATGTTTTTGATTCGATTTTATTAATTTTTAGTATTTTCATTGGCATAAAGAAACTGCTGGCTTTGATTGACATGGCCCGCCAAACCGATGAAAAGTTTAGAGTTATGAAATTGATTACGAAATTGGAAGAGGATGGTGCACTGGAAGATCCCGGGATGGCCTAATATACCAAATACATGATTTTACAGATATAAGATTATGATATTCCTGCACATTCCACATGTTTAGCAATATCTCGATCAATAGTCAATTGTTATTACAGTTAGGTACCGGTGAAAAAACACTCCTAGGGTGTTTTAAACAACATGCATCCTAAATTATAGTACAATTAGATTGTTTAACATTGATTTTTCTATTTTTGCTTACATTGTTAATAATTTGAAGCTTTTTGAAAGAAGAATTGTTATCGAAGTGTTTGTTTATTGTTGGTTAAGTTATTTTTCTAAATTATAAAATTATTAACTTAGTGTTAGTGTGTAGAAAATAGTCCGTGGTTTCAGTCTAATAATTTATTTTATTTAAAACACTTGAGTGGTATTGAATCACAGTTAGTCACACTGAAATTCTTCTTTGTTTTATAAGTGTCTAGTTAATATGTGTGTACTATAGAAATTAATTACTTCATTATGTGGTCTATCATATATCTGCTTAGCTTGTATTCGAAGTCAATAATGTTAAAAATAAATTTGAAATTTCTGAAACTGAAAGTTATAATTCTTTGATATCTCGTGACTGTTTGATAGAGGATTGTTAAAGAAAAAGGTTCATATTATTTTCTTTGTAGTTCTTAGTAGCATTCCTATAATAGCAGACTATAACTGTTAAAGATATTGAATATTATATGTATATACAGGATGTTTCAGCTTTAGAATAGATGTATTCAACCATCTACCTCATCCGTGAGTAAAACTGGATGACTACAAACCTGTTTCATACTGTTTCAAGACACCAAGTTAGAATTGTTGTGTTACACATTGTTAAAATGTATGAAACTTGGATAGTGTTAAGAAAAAAATGAAGCATCCTATATAGCATTGTTGTCAATAATGATGTATAATGAATTTATTTATTAATATAAAGTCAGCCACCATCAATTATAGCAATTATTTAATGGTGAAAAGAGGGGGTTTCCCACTAGACCGGCGCATCCCCCATATTTGCAACCGCGGTGTTTATCATACAGTGAGCGGCAAAATTATGTAATAATCTTATTAAAACTGAAAATATTTTTTTAGGAAAAATGCTCGAACGTATCAATTTTCTTTTTAAAAAATAAACAATTTTCAACTTGGTTTAATATTTTACACTTTTTGGTTTTTGAGTAATGACGTCGTCGACATTTTTTTTAATGGAAACCTCTAATTTTTTAGCTATATAGTTTGATAGATCTTTTAATTGTCTAAATGACAACACCGAAATATATACATATTACATAGTTTGAGAAAAAAATACCAAAAAAAAATGAAATATTATCAACAAAAAACTAACATAAAATTTCAAAGTTGAGAATTTTGTATTTTTTGAAAAGAAAATTGACCTGTTCGAGTATTTTTGCACAAACAAAATATTTTCAGTTTTAATAAATAGTATTATTCCATAATTTTGCTGTATATTTTTTTTACAGTATTAGGATAAAATTATCAGCTGCATTTAAGTATTTAATTTCTTTATTAAATTGTGTAATATTTTTTTTCAGGTGAATTCTGGATCTCATCTTATTTTCTCGTATTTTTTGTGAACTACAGAGGATGGCCATCAGAATTTTGTTATGTTGTGACCAAATTAATTTTATTTAATTCTACTAATATATTATAATGTAAGTTAAAGAGGAGATTTTTTTATAGCCGAACTGTTTATTGCCTGAGATGCGTAACATTGACGGAAATAATAAATGCGAGGCTATAAAAATCTTCTCTACCGTGTTTTATGTAATATTTTTTTCACCACTTGCACATTTATTACTCAGAAATACCACGGTGAAAAATACTCGTATGACATTATCTAAGGGGCATGTTGTTTCAGACGTAACATGTCGTAATTTACAACTACTATTTTTGTTGATTTATTATTACCTAATTAATAATTACTTACCTAAGTTATTCCTAAGTTGGAAGTATGTATACATAAATTATTTTATTTTTATCGTAAATGAGTTTGTCATTTTTTAAATTCTGCATCTATTAAGGGAATTTTCTAACTTCATAATATGAATTATTATTAAAATAACATAGGAATTGTGAAAAAAAGGAAAAATTAAATTAAAATTTGTCCTACTACCAATAGTATTTTAACATGAAATTAGCTTACTTATTGTTTTGACAAAGACAGAAAAATTATTACAGGCGCGATTATTCTGATTTTTTTTTATTGAGGATGTCTAATTAGTCCTTAAAAGTCGTTAACTTTAAGTCATCTCAAAATACTTCCGTTAGTACTTGTGATGATAATATAGTTTTAAATAATAATATTCTAGATATATATTTGTATCAATGTAATACCCTCCAATATCGATATTTACCTATCTCTAATCCATTATTGACCATTAGAAGAGAAAAACAACTTTACAAAGACATAATATTTCATTGGTTGTAAAGAATGAGGTTGATGTTAACTAACCTAATATACAATTTTATGTTAATCAAATGAGTTTGACGACCAAAGTAATTTGTCCGCAACTGTACTCAAGCTTCTAAAGTAGAAATTATGATTTAAGGATTAAAGTAACCAAAACCAAATATTGGAATGCGGAAAATAGCTAAAGTTTAATTAAAGTTTGAGAAAAAGATAACAATTTCCATCTTTTTATTGACCTGAAACAATGCAGTTGCGGTGTTGCCATTTTCCAGATAGATCTGCCATAGCTGTCGCCACCCTAGCAATGTCGCAACTGCATTTTTTGAGATGAAATAGGTCAGAACCATTTGATTTTTGTGTGGAAGAAAAGTTTATGTTAAAATTTAAAAAAATTGTATAAAACATTGATAGATACTAATCTAATGCATCATCTAAAATTATTTTCAACATACAGCATGTCCCAAAAATAAGTTACGATCAAACTTGTGTTTTTTTAAATGAAACACCCTATGTTTCTTTGCATTTTTGGATGTAGCCTTTTAAAACTTTTATTAGCCGATTTCGCTTAATTTTAGAAATAAGACGTTTTTTTGACGAAAACATGATGCACTTTTTAAAAATCTATTACACAAAAACTAAGACAGCTAGAACAATTTTTTTCTTACTTCTGCAAAGAAGAAAGTACAAAATTTAAAGCAGTAGTAATTTTTTAGTGTTTTGCATTTGTAAAGATTAATAAATTAAGAAGTTTGTTAAAAGTTAAATAACTTAAAAAAATAATTTTTAATATTTTTAGGGTCTATCTAACTATAAATATAAAATATAAACTAAATATATATTTAGTTTAGCTTAAAAACATTGTCATATAAATCTACATCCAAAAAAGCTAAGAAACATATGGTGTTTCATTAAAAAAAAACAAAGTTTGTATTGTAACTTATTTTTAAGACACGCTGTATAGTTGAAAATAATTTTAGGCGATGGACTAGAGCGATATCTATTAATGTCTTATATTATTTTTTTAAATATTACCATTTTAAAGGTCACTGGACTTGTTCAACTCGCTGGGACACTCTGTATACCTACACCGTTTCAATCGCCACACTGCCATCGTCGAAACTGTTTTTTTTTTTAGGTGAAATAGATCATAAACAATTAATTTATGTGTAAAAGAGGAATTTGTGTAGTAACTGGACCCTACTGACCAATTTAGATCCAAAATACTCCACTATTTCATATAGAAAAAAACGTTATGAAAAGTGACACAGAATGGATATTGAAATGGCACGACGTATAATTACAAGCACGGAACTGGGCCCTAGAATGGGTCACGATAGGTCCAAAGTTTTTTGAGGTGGGCTAAGTAAAACCCATGTTATGATAAAATCGGATAACACCATAGGCACCATGTTTTAAAAAACCAGCAAAAATGTCTTAAAAAACTTAGTGTTAGTGAAAAGTGGTTCAGGAAATGATACTTCTGTAAAAAACTATATAAACAGAAATAAATTTTATTAAAAAAAAATTATCGGCAAAGGTCACAAAAGTGACCACTGTTATGACTAAACGATACAGGTACAGTTGGAGACAAAATACTTTGGTCGTCATTGTCACTTGAGTGACATTAAATTGTAAAGCATGCTTTAGGACTGTTAACCTTATTTTTAGCTACTGTCAATCATAGTTGACAAGTTGTACATATTTTTGATAGAAAGATATAATAGCTGTCATTAATTTGAAATTGTCATTCATTTTAACGTTAAAGCTTGAATTACATACAAGTGTCAGAAAAATGACGACCAAAGTATTTTGTCTTCAACTGTAAAAGTTTTACTTTTCAGACATGGAGTAAAAACACTGTGTTTACGCCTAGGCGTTTTCACTTTTACTTGACACTTACTTTGACATTTACCACTGTTGTCTCTTTCGCTTTTTCAGCATTTTCTGGAGAGGTATACAAGGTATTTTCAGCATTCGACATTTTGCACTATAAATTACACCAGTTATTCACCAGTTAAATCAATCAACACTTTCGAAATCTCAACACAAATTCCGAAACTGACGCGTGACGTTTGTTATGATTTTATTGCAAAGCGTCCTGATTATTGAGGTGATTTACTTGATTATTGGTGTGTTGCTCTTTTCTCTTCATCTGAATCGTTTGCAGATAAAATAGTATCTGTTATTTGGAGTAAAAGTGAGTTTATGTGCCTCAGCTGAATCCATTTGCCTCACTCCGTTCGGCAAAATGAACGTTCAGCTTCGCCACATAAACAATCACTCCTATTAACATAATCTACTATTGTTTTGAAACAGGTGGGCCAGCACAATTTTTGGTGGGTCATGGCCCACCCAAGCCCTCCTGTAGTTACGTGCTTGCGTAGACAAGAACTGAACGAAAACCGCAAACATTTTTTTTTTGTGATAAACTGGCAAATGGCAAATATTTATTATGATTGTTCATCAGAGCAAAAGTGTTTATTAAGTCTATAAAAAAGAAATTTTTACATTAATGCAGACATAAAAGTTATACGTCACTTTTTTTGAGCGAATGTTTTCATCTTCTAAATAATGTGTGTGTCGTGTGTCATTTCTTACATTTTTACTTCGACAATCGATAATACGTTCATGAAGTAGTTTCTTATCAGTCAAAATCACTTCAATTCTTATTTTTAGATTTAAAGAACATGAGGAGGTTGTATAAAATATTGCCCAATTTCATTTCTAGTTATTCTCGGATTTAAAAAAAGAATAATTTCTAACCAAAATTCATCACTATTAAATTTTTGTTAAGGTTACAGAACCAAGTAGGTACACAATTCGCTTCCGACGCCGCTGGTTCTTGTCACCTTAATAATAAAAGCGTTTGTTTGGTTATCTTTGTTAGATTTTGATGATTGAATCGTTTATTCGAACCGCGAGTGGGAACAGGACTCTGAACCCATGCGCTCACACTCGGCTGAACATAAATTTCATCCCAAAAAGTGAAAAAAGCCGGTCGAGTGGAAATAGCGCACTCGCGACGCCTTTTTTTCAGTTTTACCGTCGCGCCAGGAAGCGGCAACGTACCGTCTATGGTTTTATTGTAATTAACGCCGGTTGTAATTTAAAAGTTAAGAAACGCTCGGTAATGAGAGTTCAAGCGACAGGTGTGGCGTCAGGTATCGAGTGGGCGCCTCGGCAGCAGCCACCAGAATCCGGGTCCCCAAACTACTTGCCATAAATTCACGAATAATAATTAGCAATCGGTGCACTAAAGGCGTAAACAAAATTAAAAGATAAATAGTTGATCGGCTCCGAGCGAGGCTAAGCGTGCGCAGCTGCAATTCGTTTCAGCCACCCTGCCGCAACACGGATAAAACCAAACCCGTGCGAGGAACGCTCAACGAAGTCGGTGTAAAAGTGCGTGGTAAGAGCCGCTCGGTTTCCTGCAAGAAATACGCGACGCACGGAGTCCGAAACTCGCTCAAATAATCAGAAAGAGTTTGAGGACCAGATCGGTGCGAAGTTGAGCCGCAAACGGGCGCAATAAGGGGCTGAAATCCGGCGAGTTTTTGCGCGCAGCGTGTGCGTTTTCCCGGCAAACAGTGCAGTGCCAAAATGAATTCGATTAAGAACCGAGACCGCATTCTCGAGGCGATTGACCAGCTCCGGCGCCGCAAAGCGCGCCCCGATATCCAGCGGATTTGCAATTATCTGTTCCGGCGCTTTTCCATAAGTTCGGTGGAGGCCCGCTCCGACTTGCAATGGTGCGTGGAGAACGACATCGTGCTCAAAGTGGAGTACAAAGGGAGTATCAGTTACAGAAACGCAGCGAAAAAGTACTCGCATGTCAAACGTGACAATCAGAGTGATAATAGCGCTGACAACAAAGCCAACCGGAAGTTCGCACAACTCCTTACGAACGCCTTCGGCGAGCTGGTCGTCCACGAACCCGATTACCTGGACTACGGAGTACCCGCCGAAGAGATCATCAACAACATCCTCTCCAAGGATAGTGTGAGATACACGAAAAAGTACATCTTAATACTCATCGAAAAAGAAGTCGAGAACGGAGGACTCATCAAAATGGAAAATGACAGGTACCTCATGGGACCGACTAAGGAGGAGGGGCGGAAGACAGACGATATGGACAACAATAGGGGCGCAAACGGGGAAATAAAGGACGGCGATACGCACTCTCAGGATTTAGTCATTAATGTCAAACCAAGGAAAAGGCCTGGACCCAAACCTGGACCCAAAAAAGAAAAATCCGAAAGTATGGATTCGGATGAAAAAAAATCGGACACGGGGAGTTTGCGAGTAGGGGGACGGCGAAAGGTTAGTTGCAGTCCATCAACCTATTTGTGACAGATGTGTTTCGCACTACAAACCTGACCAATGAAGACCAACAAACCTAAAATGGTACCAAAAACTTCACACCACCAAAAAACCTAAAGTGCCACCACTGACTACCAAATTTCTAATAATTAGAAACAATTAACCATCACAGAAATCATAACCTGTAACCTACATTTCAATCATTATTAACAATTGCAAAATTTTTCACAAATTATTATAAAAACTTGTTAAGTATTTATTTATTATTAAAAAAAAACAATTCATTTAGAATTTGTGTAATTTACGTTGTTATAACCTCACTTTCAGAGAGCCAAGAAAGTCTTTGACCCGTCTGACACGCACGTCCCTAAGAAACGCGGACGACCAGCAGGTTCTTTGAATAAATCAACAATTGAGAAACAATTAGCAAAATTAAGTGATGAATCCAGGCCAGAATCACGTACTTCAAACAGTGGGAGAGAACAGGGTGGAGTTTGTTCAGTTTGTCATCTACAAAATAAAAGAGGACCTAATGATCGCATGGTGGCTTGTAGGGAATGTAGTAATAAAGGTTTTTTTTACAATTTTTGCTAATTGCTTAGTTTCTAATTTGCACTTTTTTAGCTCATTACAGTTGTTTAAATGGGGACGATATGATGCTAAGGATGTATCCAGATAACACCTGGCAATGTCCACATTGTAAAACTTGTGTTATTTGTTTTGAAACGTCAGATGCAGTAAGTTTTTTATTGTTACTTGTTAGCACTAGATTTTTATGGTTTCAATTGGCAATACTTACTATGCCATTCTCTGTTGCATACAGAGTGTTAAAAATATTGTAAAATATTTAAAGATGTTATAGTGTAGACTAGAGACGGATACCTAAAGTTCTTCGTAGTATAGACCAAAATAAACAAAAAAGTTTTAATAAACATGGGCACGGTTTCGAAGATATCGAATATGAAAATTTTTAGAATTTCTACTAAAAGCTTCTTTTTTGTTTGAACAGACTGCAAATAAATGTTTCAAAAAAAGGAATAATTTTTGATATCTCCGAAACCGTTACTTTTGCGGACCCATGTTTATAAGATGTTGTTTTGGCCCATACTATAGTGGCGGACACGGAATTTTGGACATCAAATTTATGTCAGTTTAAAAAATGAATGTGTCATTCAGTTGTCAAAATTTCTAAACTATACTTAGGTACTCATAACCAAGCTTTTATTGTTTGGCATATTTGTCTTTTTGACACTGACAAAGTCGAAGTTTTTGGAATCCCCAAAATCACCGAAACATCCCGCTTTGAATAAGAGCTATTGTTTGAGATTTTTTAAAAACTGATACAGCTGGCGTTTTGCAAAAATTGATTACGTCAAAGTTAATTTGACAGTTTTTTAAGACCATAATGACGGTAAAAGGTGCATTTACATTGACATTTTTTGATATGACAATCAAAGACTGTCCAGGATTTCGTGATTGATTGAAACTAAAATTTGAAAGTTTTAGTTGAAATTTATTTTTGTCGTCGATTTTCCGAAACAATAATGCCAGCAATAGGTGTGTTTATATAAATTATTTTGATTTGTTGTCATTTTTTCTCTAGTTGTCAGGATAAAAATTACAAAAACCGAATGTGAGGTTAGTTGCCTAAGGCCTGTTTTACATTTTTATATCAATTGAATGACAAATCGTCTAAAATTCCGTGTCCGCCAGTATATTATCTCCTGAAATATTTTACAATCTTTTTTAACACCCTGTATACGAGTAAAAGAAATGATGTCTGTTTTTCTTTCTTCTTTGGTACTGAACTAAAAAAGTTTCAGTACGAATTCCCATTGAAACAGTATACAAACCTTTGTGGGAATCTCATTACCCTCTGTGTAATGAAATATGTATTTCCCAGCGAGATTATAATATTTTAGAGACTTTATAAATATTTGTACGAAAAGCGCAGCTTGTTTTTATTTACTTTGCCGGCGATTATTTACAGTTGATATTGTGTTAGTCAGGATTGTACGTACCTGCAGACTAAGCTTTTTTCATATCAAATATCATAGTGATAAATATTTTCTTCAGGGTAATTTAACAGTTTGCGCTGTCTGCGCTGATGCTTACCATGCAGGATGCCACCAACCGCGCATTCATGAGAAATTTAAACCACCGGCGAAATGGCTTTGCATCAATTGCGAAATGCCCGAGGAATTGAAAATCAATGAAATTCAGTCTAACATAAGTAGTTCCTTTACATCAAAATTGATCAATGGGAATGGTAATCTTTTTGATGGTATTTTTGGTCAAGTGTAAACCTGGTTTGGGTTCTAGACATAAATGATAATAATTCTTCATCACCTTCAATTTCTGGAAATACCACACCTAATTATCAATCACCGCCGTTATCACCCACGCCGCCTCAACTCAGTCCGCAAAATGAAGTGCAACAAAATGGTGATGGAGGAGTTTCTGATTCCCAAAGTAATCAGAGTATTAAAGATTCCGATGATGATAATATAGATCCATCTATCCCTGATGCTACGAATTGGACGATCGAGGAGGTGTATCAGTATTTTGCTCAGTATTTTCCCGAGGAAGCCAAAATTTTTAAAGAACAGGTTTGTTGATTAAGTAATTATAAAGGGAATTTTTCGATTTTCACTAATTTTTTAGGAAATTGATGGTCGCTCATTGTTGCTACTAAAACGAATGGACGTTTTAACGAATTTGAAATTAAAGCTGGGACCTGCACTTAAAATTTACAAGCATGTTGTTAAGCTACAAGTAAGGAGGGATGATCCAAAATTCTATTGGTTGTAAATATCAATTATGCATCAACTTTTTTTCATGATATTTTTAAAATTGCTGATTTGTTTTAACAGTTATTTTGTTTCCAAGTTCATGTATATTTTAATTATTTGTTTTATAAATAGAATGCACTACAAATAAACCACTTGAAGTTACAAAATCATCATATTTTCAGATACTGCCAAATTGAAGAGAAAATTTTCGAAATTTGGGTGATATTTCTTAGCTCTCAGATCATTCATCGTGATCATCTTTACGTCATTGTCCGTTGTTACTGAAGTCAAGCTTGTTAATAAATTAAGCAGTTCTTTGGTCTTTTGGAAAATTTGTTGTTTAACTTGATTTTCCGTCAGGTGGCTTGCTGATAACTTTATCAGGAAAGTGGCAATTTCTTTGTGGGTTTTGGTCATGGCCATGATTTCTGAAATTGAAAAATCTATAAAGATAGAATAACATATCGCATGTCAATAAATTATGTAAAGAAATAACCGCTTTCGACTATAGACATACAAAAAACGTCGAAAACAAAATTTCTTAAAAATATCCAAACTCCAGAGCTTTGAGACGATAATTTATTGACATCACATTTTATTGTTCAAGCAAAGAAAGAAGATAACCGACTAAGCTCTAGTAGCATGTTTGATTGACAAAATTGACACTCAAAAGTATATCATTTAGTGAAGTGATAGTTCCTTAATTATTTTATCCCATTTATAGATAGGTAAGGGTTTCCTACCAAAAAGTGTTTTTTTGGTGATATGTGGTATAATGTAAAGATAATATTCTTTTTGTTCATATGTTTTGTTATACTTTAAAATACCAAGTACTATCTGTCTTAATATAGGGATAAAAGTGCCAATTTAAGTGGTGAAGCTAAACGTTTATTTTGCCGGAGATAGTGAGACAAGTAGTTCAGATGAGTCACATACCCCGAATACTCTTTTATAATAACGCAAAAATATTTTCTTAAGTCCTATTCTCTCAAAGTTTATTGTTATAGTAGCTACATGTTTCGGCTATTTTTAGATAGCCATCTTCAGGCAATATTTTATGTAGCTAGTATAGTATAAAAAAATGCTTGAAGACCGCTGTCTAAACAAGCCGAAACATGTAGGTAATATAACAATAAACTTTGAGATAATAGGACCTAAGAAAATATTTTTCCCTTTATTGTAACGAAGAGTCTCTCAAAAAATTGCGTAATAAGACCTTCGTCATTTTATAAAAGTTGAAAATTTGTCAGCGCATACTACCAATACAGGTAGGAACGATGGGCAAGTATGAATTTTGGGTCATCGTGGCTTTGGGAGAGAAAATTATGCATTAATGAGATGAGCTTGTACATACATACTTTTGACTTTTTGAAACAGAAAAATCAATCACAAAGGATAAATTGCAAAATTTCTGATGTAAAAGAATATGTTTTGTGATATTGACGACCAATATACGTAACTATCGAGCGATCAAGATAATTTGTAATCGAGTCAACCTTGAATTCGAAAACGTATGTCTGTAAAATGACAAGTCGAAAAGTAAAATGGCATGATCAAAAAGGTGATGATTATAAACTAAATTTATAATTTACCTTCAAAAAAGAGCGGTCTTACTCTTATTATTATATGTCGGCGACTAATCCCAGACCATTTTGCCGTTTTACCTTTTGACTTGACATTTTACAGACATACGTTTTCGACTCCAAGGTTGACTCGATTACAAATTATCTTGATCGCTCGATATACTGTCATGGGTTTCCAAAAATTAAATGTGTATTTTTTGTATCCAGTGTTTTGTGACTTTTGTATATTTGGTTACGTACACTAGGCGCAAGCCTCGTAAAGTTGTGTGAAACACAACGGGACTGTACTTGGTTCGTTCACATAATAATATAAAAATTTTATAACAATAAAAATTAATAGGAGTAACTCTATAGAGTGTTCAAATAAAAATAAAAACACAAATGTATGTAGGTACAGTTGGAGACAAAATACTTTGGTCGTCACTTTTCTGACACTTTAATGTAATTCAACCTTTAACGTTAAAATAAATGACAATTTCAAATTAATGACAGCTATTATATTTTCCTATCAAAAATATGTACATATAACTTGACAGTAACTAAAAATAAGGTTAACAGTCCTAAAGCATGCTTTACCATTTAGTGTCACTCAAGTGACATTGACGACCAAAGTATTTTGTCTCCAACTGTACCTACATATCCTAATGAGCATCATTATACCTATAATGTTGTACACCTGCACAGGATGTGAAAGAGCTAATCCGAAAGTTAAATTATTTTAAAAAAGAGGATATTTTCAAACTTTTAAGTTCAATTTGAGCAATTTTATTGCTTTCATTCATTTAATTTTAAAATAAATTACCTTCAGCTTTTGGAGATACTGTAACTTCCCGTGTACTCAAATTAACAAAGAGGTCGTATAAGTGTTCATCCTTTAGTAAGTCACGATTTGTTGTCCCGGCTACATAAAAGGACAATCCTTTTAATTTATTGGAACTTTCTATAATTGGATATAAATAATCAGCGACTTTTCTTTGTGGAACCAAGTTGCTTATGGCCAATAGTTCCTAAAATAATTAATTTATTATTCAGAATTTTGTGAGTGTTGTGCGTTCTTCCTTACACTTAAAAGCAGTTCTGTGTTGTAATCAAACAACAAAATCCTCCTTTTTAATAATATCGCCGTATACAGTAGAATTATCTCCAAATCAAACGATGCGATAAATTCTAAAATTCAAATTAGTTTATTGAGTAACAGTAAAAATCCCTAACCTTTTAAGTTGGTAACAGATTCGTAATTTTTGAAATTACAAACGTACGAAGCACCATTTTCCTGCAATGAGCAAGAACCAGAGGTGGTAAACAAATTCAAATATAAGGTAACTAACTCCACCGGATTTTGGCATTTGGAATATTTCTTCCCTAAAATATCACACAACTGTCGGTATTTGGTTGGCTCAAATTCCTTCGCCACTATTACAATTGCGAAAGTTTTGTTTGACACAAATTGGTTGATATAAATCCAGTTATTTTGGACGCGCCCACAAATATATTCATTTTGAACGCCTCTTGCGAAACAATTCGACAGGATGTGCTTTTTGTGCTCGTCTGTTACCGTGGGATAGGTCCATGACAAAAAGTTTTTGTTATTTTCATTTTCTAAAAATTGAAGTGTAATAAATATTTTAGGAGGTTTATCAGTAGCTTACCAACAATATGAAATGAAATTAATTTATCAATGTAAGTCATAGCTTCGAGTAAACAAACATTATTGTGAGGCTAGAGGTACATGACTAATAAAAATGCTGGTTTAGATAAGTAGGAATTTAGTTGAAGGCCATTTAAATGAATAATGGTGAATGTGCTGACATCTACTAAACAAATTTGCAGGAACCTACCATAATTATTGTTACTCCTGGTACTCACTATAAACATTTAAGAGATGTCGGGGTCAGTTTCTGGGTTCCTGGTAACAAAAATTAAATTGATTTCTCAGAATTTAATTAATTGGGATTTTGGGTGGACTATACATGGTGACTACTCTTCAACTACATGCATTCCTGATCAAGAAAATGTAAAATTTCTAACATATGACTCTCCATTATTTTTATTATTTACAAGGTGGTTTGGGTTGCATAAATGAATCTCGATCAAACTTATCAGAGTTTTATTTAAATAAAAACAAATTAAATTAATACAAATATAAAACTACTCGATATGCTAGCATCACATAATCAACCTTTCTTAAATTTGAGCAAAAGTATACTAATGGTTAAGAAGACAATAATCCAAATGAGAGTTGCAATAAATCCTCCGTAAACTTCCGTAGTTTCAATACCCCAACCTCTGGCAAGAATACACCTTAAGCTTTCCGTCGATTTTGTCAATGGCAACACATAGGAAATCACTTGGAGGACACTATGCATTGCTTCTATTGGCCATATGATACCACACAACATTACAATGGGTAAAAAGCTCCCCATGGCCATGTAAGTGGCGGATCTTTCGTTATCGCAACTACAAGCGACGACGAATCCTGCAAAAGAGTGTTATAAAAAGTGATTTTTTTTGGTAGTTTTGACGTACCGAAGCACATTCCACAAAGGCCAGTGATGACGATTAGTATAACAACAAGAAGTAGATTTCCGTTTTGAGTGATGCCGAAAATGGCAAATGAAAAAATTAAGACCATGGCAGATTGACCAAACATGACAGAAAATTGGGTGATGACGTGGGAAGAGAGAAGTTCGATACCGCTTATTCCATTTACAAGGGATCGCTCAAGAATTCCTTCGTTTCGTTCGAGTAACATAGCGCCGGAGGTTAAAGCCACTGCCAAGAAGAATATAATTCTGGAAATAAAATTTAAACTATAATAATGTATAATAAAAAAGAAAATATTTCTTTTACAAAAAAAAAAAAAAACTTGGAACACCTATACATATAACTAATTTAACGTCAAAGATCACATAAGTTAGTCAAAAAATGAAATGCTAATTTTTTACTGGTTTGCGAACGATTTGTGTTTTAAAATAAGACAATTTTAAAAAATGTAGCTGGTGCAATATTTAAAAAATACAATTACGTTTATTGTTAAGCATTAGTAGTTATTTATTCGACGAGTTTGAGTGTAAATCAGACACTTTATTTCACGAGTGGATTTTTAAACCACGGGTATTAACGAGTAGTTTATCTATCATCCACGATGGGGAATAAATGAACCGTTTTACACGAAGACGAGTTGAATACAACATTTTATTCTTCAATCAATATCAATAATAATAATAATTAAGTCAAGAATATACATCTTTTCCATTTTTTTTTCTATCGCCACATCAGCAACGTCGCAACTGCGTTTTTTGGTGAAATAAGTCACAGACTTTTTATTGCTCTATACAGTGTTTTTGTTTTGGTTTTCCTCTTTTCTCAAATATATTTCATTATTATTGAGACCAAAAGAAAAACACTGTAAAAGAATAATCTGTGTTACATATGGATCCTATTGTCAAATTTAGAGCTAAAACTCTCTACTATTTATACAAAAAAGTGACAGAATAGCGATGGAAATGACACGAGATCTACTGGGTGATTTTAAGGTATGTGCAAATATTTTAACAGATGATCCTAGAGCTCAAAAGAAGTCAAAATAACTAAACTTGCGTTATCCGAATGTTCATAGTTTCTAAGATATAGAGGGTGCAAAATTAGTAAAAAAAAATGCAATAGATATAAACAAATTTTGAACCTTTTGCGTACTTTATTCTAAAATTTATATTGCTAGTAATCGGTAACATTTGAGGTAATGAAATTGGGTGATATCTTTAACAAAAAAAATTGATCTGAAATTTTCACCGTTTTATGATTTTTTTTATATTAAAACAATGTATCTAATAGATTTTAAAGAGCTATAACCTCAGAGATCATATTTTATACAATTTGAGTTGGTGAAATTTAAGGCTGCGCCCCAAGTCTAAATTTATTCAACAAACCAAACTCTCTGTGTTTGTATCTTGAAAACCATAAACATTCCGATAAGGCAAGTTGACTTATTTTTACTTCTTTTGAGCTCTACTATCACCTGTTAAAATATTTGCACAAACCTTAAAATCGGTATACATGTGTATTACATACAGTTTTAGAAAAAATACCTATGTTAAAAAAATTCCAATCTGTTTATATTTATTTTATTAAAAATTATTACCCGAATGAATAAAGCGAATTTTTGATGGTATAACTATGACGTCTTACATAGTTGTAACCTTTCATTTTGTTTAGAATAGAAGAAGGTCTTTAATTGAAATTTCAAATTACTCTACAAATTCTGTTTCTGAGTTTCTGAGACATCAGGGTGCAACCTTAAAAGCATCGAAAAAAATTGTCAAAAAAATTAAATTAAATAGATATAAAGGAAGTTTGTATCTTTTATAACAAACTTAAATAATAATAATTACTTTGTTTTGATGTATTACAAAAAACACAAACTTATGCTTAAATAGTCTGGTTTATAGATTTTTAATATGCCTTAAAACATTGGAATAAAGCAGCCTGGTTAAAATGCAGTATTCTGACTTTGTTCCTGCAAAAGCCAGTTACGAAATAAAACCTTACTAAGCCACTTTATATTTTAGCAAAGAATTTTAAAAATTGCATTACTTATTGAACATTTTGTATTATTTGAAACATAGATACTTGGAATTATTTGTTTATATGCATTCAAAATAGACGGTATATGTATACTACAAAATGTGTCGGTTACAAATTAGTAAATTACAATAGTGTCTCAAATCATTAAATAGAGTTTGTTTAGATTAATTTTGAACCTACAGACCCGAAATATTTTGTAACAAAACTTACGTAAGTATGACCCCAGGTGCCGCAAAATCTGTGAAGTCTGGATTGTCGTAACCGTAGACTGGCTTTTCCCATCTGATTGGTATTGTTCCGACCTTACTGTCAATGTTACAAGAAGTTAGGTAATCTTTAAAGAAATCTTCAAAAGCGAAATACAAGTCTCTTTGGATATAACTGCCGAGATTTTCGTCTGTAAAAAATAAGATTAAAAAATTAATAAAAAAAATAAATTTGAACTTACTTGACTTGTCCTGATACACCGCAACAGAAGACGTGACCAAATCCCAATCAGGCACACTTCGACCTCCATTGATTCTTGACCTTAACGAATCCGAAAAATTACTCGGAAAAACTAAAGTTGCCCAAGCTTTCCCATGCCGCACCTTCTCTTTACCTTCTTCTTCGCTTTCATAAAAGCTCTAAAAAAAAGTAATTAAATTCGTCCAATAAATCAGTCAATTCAAATTACAAGTTCCAAAGTCCGTTTTTGCAAAAAGTCCAAGTAATTACAACTCAGCCGTGTACTATTACACCCCGGAGTAACTTTACAAACTTCAGACTCTTCTAATTCGTGATTAACCACGGTAAGTGGCAACCCCGTCGGGTCATGCCCTATCGACAAACAAAACAGAATCGTTTGAAGAACCGGCAGTCCGATTATAAAAGCCATAACTGGCGCATTTCTCCACATCCAGAGGAAATTCTTCCAAATGAGGGCCCTCATGTGGTGCAGTTTAACAATTTTGAAATAATCCGAGAAGGTCATTGGGGGCTCTTCTTCCGGGGGGAGCTCCGGAGGGGCATTTTCGGTAGGTTCGGGGGCTATCGAGACGCGTCCTCCTCGACTGGACATCGAGACGTTGTCTCCAAACTCACCGGAAATTTCACCAACTTCGTCATCGATCACAGCAGCCTCGTTAATTGTTCCGGTAGGGACGTGGATAGTTTCAGTGACCCCTTGGAGGATGCTAGATCGACGCCTTTTTCCCATATTTTGAATGACGCTAAGTTTAAGAAAAACATCTTCGAGGCTGTCGGCCCCAAACTGAGTAATTAGACGTTCGGGGGATTCCTCGGCGAGGAAATATCCACCTCGCATTAGACCGATCTACGGAATTTCAAAAAGATTTTAGTGGTAATTTCCGAGATTTGGCGATAGTAAAATTTCCAATGATGTTTATCAAAGCGAAAAAGTTTATATGCAGATCAAGGTAATCAACTATAAAACTCGACATTGACATCGGCCAAGAGGTTTAAAATTTTATTAATTATTATTTGTTCTGACGTATTTAGATATGAGCCTTTTTTGTTTAATCGTTAAAAATATGCGGGACATTAATATGTTTGAAATTACTAACTATAGGTACGCGATGAGTACCAGAAAACAAAAGATCTTAAGACAGGTGATAATTATCGGTTGTATATGACATGTTTTCATAATTATTTTTAAAGAGATGCGTTTTATTGTTTGTCCTTTGTTTTGCAAAATTTTATAATTAATAAATGATTGTTTTGCAATATTTGTGTTTTAATTGATTTTTAAAAATGAGTCATTAAAAATGCGCATCTTCGCAATTACACAATCTGGAACTTCGATGAAATATGGTCAAGGAATTCTCAATATCTGCTGTAAAATAGGTAATAATTTTATTCATCAGAAGACTGTAATTGCATAAATAACCGTTTTGAAAAATAGTGCTAATGGTGACAATTAATGATATCAAAAGCCTTGAGAATTTACAAGTAAGCTAAACGCAAAACATATTTTTAAAACATTTTTTTCTATAAATAAATAAAACACTACCACGTTTCAGTGATACCGCAAAATAATGGGGCCATAAACCACATTAGACAACTTACCAGATGGGCTTGCCTTGTTTCGTCGATATAATGTGTCGTAATAATGACCGTTGTCCTTCCGTGTTTGGTAATTTCGACCAGATGATTCCAAATGTTTTGTCTCAACAAAGGATCTACTCCTACGGTGGGCTCGTCAAGGATCAACAATTCGGGTTCATGAACAAGGGTCGCAGCTAAGGACACACGTCTTTGCTGACCACCACTTAGATTTTTTACTAAGCGATCGGCGTCTGGCAACATTAAAAAACTGACTAGAAATCCGAGTTTGTCTTCGACTTGTTGTGTGGTCATTCCGGAGATCCAGCCGAAATATTTAAGAGTTTCGCGGATTGTGAATTCGCCATAAAGGGCGATTTCCTGCAAAGTTAATAATTAATAATACGTATTAATATATTGAATAAAAAATCGTAAAAATATCTTGCCAGACATGTGCGGCCTTGGTCAGAAATAACCAGTGACAAAGTTCTCATTAGCAGAGGTGAAATTTTTAGCACTGATGGTTGGAAGAAAACCTTCAAAGCCAACCACCAAAAAATTGAAATGAAGCAAGTTTACGAAATTGTTCTAGTATTCCAACATGCGTATCCTACTTAATTTTTTTACGTATAAATCCTTATTTGTGAATGATTCAGCTTACTTTTCCAAAAAAAAAGATTTGGAATGTACAAGGTTGTACCCATACATAAATTCTACTACAATCTTAATTAGCTGGTTTTCCCAGGAGATCGACCTTTTCTTATTATGATTTTTACACATTGCAGACACAAGACGTAAACTGGTTTTACTCATAACGTGTGCTGGTTTTTCTAAAAATCTTTTTACCTGTGGCATATATCCTACTCGTGGTCCAGGGACACCGCTTCCCCTGGATCCTGGTTTGCCGCCCAGCACCCATATTTCTCCTGAATTTAATCGTTTTCGACCAACTATACAATTCAGTAGAGTCGTTTTACCACAACCACTAGCCCCTAATAATCCATATCTAAAAACAATTTGTTATTTTAAGTAAGCTAAGAAGAAAAGGGTTTCATCTAAAAAAATTAACAACTAACAAATAATTTTTTTAGTAAGAATTCAGTTCTATTAAAACTGTCGCCGCAGAGACTTCTATAATGGGGCCTAAGAGTTTTCTTCAAAAAATTGAGCAATTTAATTTTATAAATACAGCTGGAGACAAAATACTTTGGTCGTCAATGTCACTTGAGTGAACTTAAATTGTAAAGCATGCTTTAGGACTGCTAACCTTATTTTTAGCTACTGTCAATCATAGTTGCCAAGTTGTATGTACATATTTTTGATAGGAAAATATAATAGCTGTCATTAATTTAAAATTGTCATTCATTTTAACGTTAAAGATTGAATTACATTAAAGTGTCAAAAAAGTGACGACCAAAGTATTTTGTCTCCAACTGTACATACTAAGCATAAAAATGTTTGTATTTTTGATGACATTTGTGTTTTTTTCTTTAAGAATGATAAATAACGTACGATTTACTTAAAAAAATGTTGAGACTGAATGCAAATACATTTTCAACTTTTTCGGGTGTACAAAAGCAAACGCAATTGAGTTAAAAAATAAAAATAAAATAATTAGTGCAATCATTAATTAATTTATACAGGGTGCGCCAGAACTCGCGCCCCAGAGAAAATTTTCAAGTAAGGTAAGATACTAGGAACATGAAAAAAATGTTTAAAAAATTCTATCTGTCAAAAAAATTTGACATTTATTTTTTGACATTTGACATTTTTTTATATCAATTTAATGATACTGTTGATCTTGTATATGATTTTTTACAATTATTTAGTTAAGGGACAAAAAATTTGCCAATAAAACCCACAAATAACATTGAACAGAGTTACAATTTAGGATAGAGCTTCCTTATTTCCGCTTTTAATAGCCTATAGCAAAAAAACTTGGAAAAATATTTTTCCAACAGAAATAAATAGAGTCCAAGTGCAAACTTTAAACCCTCATAAATTCGAAATTTTTATAGATAATTTTTTTTAACATGTTTTCCATGTGCCTGGTATCTTACCTTATATGGCATTTTTCTCTGAGGCGCAAGTTCTTGCGCATCCTGTATAAATGCTATTTTGAGTTTCACATGGTTATTTTCTCGGCGCATTCACTCGCTCAAAAAGTCTACTCGTTTTACACAATTTGACTTTTCTAACTGGTTGAGTAAATAATTATTAATTTATATATATTAATAATTAATTATAAAACGATAGAATTTTGTTATTCATGTAGCAAATCAAAATAAAATGTTGTTACTGTAGAGAGAAATTTATATAAAATAATAAAAAAAAACAAAATTAGTCATATACAGGGTGTGTCAGAACTCGCGCCCAAGAGAAAAATTTCAACTAAGATAAAATACCAGGAACATGGAAAAAATGTTAAAAAAATCCTATTCGTCAAAAAATTTTGACATTTTTTTATGTAATGGTACTGATAATCTTGTATATGTTTTTTTTTATAATTATTTATTAAAGGTACAAAAATTTTGGTAATAAAAGCCACAAATAACATTAAACAGAGTTACAATTTAGGATAAGGCTTCTTTGTTTCCTCTTCTAGCCTGTAGCAAAAAACTTATTTTTCCAACAGAAATAATTACAGTCAAAGTGCAAAATTTAAACTCTCATTACTTCGAAATTTTTATAGATAGAATTTTTTTAACATTTTTCCATGTTCCTGCTATCTTAACTTACAGCATTTTTCTCTGGGGCGCGAGTTTTGGCGCATCCTGTATAATTGTAAAAGTTAATGAGTTAAGACTTGTCTCTTGTAACACAAAGATATTCCAAAATTTTTAACCTACATTCAAGTCAATACAAAGTTCTAAGTACAAGTAAATATCCGAGAAATATTATACTACCCACAACATTTTTTTTATTGCGTAAACTAGTTATTAGTGTAAATAAATGTAAAAAATGAAAAATTTTCCATGATAACCGAGTACATCGACAGTATAAAAAGATCTGAATCCTAATACTAATTTTGTCTAAAAACAAAGCAGAGTAAACAGGAAATAAGAAACAAACAGAAAAACCTGTTTAAACTTGAATAATTAATCCAAATTTACCAGTTTTGATTTTTCTTAAATAATACTTACATGGCACCTTTCGGTACGGTCATATTCAACCCATCTAAAATAACATAGGGGTTGCTTTTACTTCCGTATCGTTTGTAAGCTCGTCGGACGCAAACGGCTTGTTGTCGACGAGTTTGTACTGTAGACATTTGGGCTTTGAACTGCCTCCTACGGAGTTCTAGGTCGCTCGGACCTTCTGGCATTGTGATGCTTTGCTGCAAATAACAATAATAACATTGTATCAAATTTTGAGAGTGGAAGAAAACTGACGTGCGTCACATTAATTGCTCATTGTTAGCCAAAGGTGAGTAAATGTGTTTTAAATATATACTTTGGTACTAATTATGTGTTCTTCCAAAGAAATTTCGACGTATTTCAAGACATCCTTGAACATTGACACTCAAATACAAATTGTTCAGCGATCATGAACTTCATTCGATTATGTATTTACAATTACATAATATGTGTTCATTTGTATTCAAATTGCACAAAGCTATTGACAGCTAATCGTATTATCCATTGGCTAGAAAGTGTTAATTAATAATTTATTTATAGCTGATGCATTTTCACACTTATTCTCTCGTCTTTCACAACGAGATCCTACGTTATTTTCTATACAATTTGTATAATGACAAAAGGTGAAATGTTGCAAAATGCATATGGATCGTGTCATACCTGTCGGTATGTAATTAATACAACATAATTCTTTAATTATGTTCTGGCATTAAATCACTTCGACATGGACTTCACGATACTAATAAATAACTTACATGTCTTGTTGACATACGTAAAGACCAATTACAGGACAATTATTAAAAAAATATAAGCACCTATTTTTCTAGTAATAATAATAATTGTAAAAAAACATTGCTTATTTACACGTGTGAAAAGAACAACACAGACAGGTTTGTAAATATAAGATTAATTTTAAAATCGTCGAAAAACTTGTTTTGAGGAAAACATATTGTTTATGTCTATAATATATTCGGTTTTACATGCGATGTGTAGGATATAAGGACTAGATTGAAATTTTTTCATAAAATTTGAATTTTATGAAATTATGACTTTTCATTTAATTGATTTTTGTATACATATCTTATAAAACTAGATGAAGTACAAAATTACAATTTGTAATATTAATATTGAATTTTATTTTAACTAACTTCCAGTTATATCTACTGTTTAGATTCAAGAAATTCTGGTAGGTCAGTATAAAAGTTATTTATTCAATTCTCTATATTAAAATTGAATTTTATCTACTCTTTTCTTCATGTTAAATTTTATCGTCTAGGTGATAAAAAAATACATCCATCCATTGTTGTATATCTGCGGTTGTTAGTTGCTAACGATTTTTGACGTTAGATTTCATTGTTGAATTTTACTTTGACATTTATAAATATCGACCAAATTGACCACAAAATTAGTGAGGATTGAATAAAATTTTATATTGTACACGACGATAAAATTTTCATTATCTTTTCGAGTATATTAGCCTCTCGACTGACACCTCGACGCTAAATTGCACTCAAAAATAAAATTCAATTTTATCGTCTTGTACCGTGCGATCAAAAAAAAATAATAAATTAGAGTAGGCGGTGATTAAAGTCCTAATTTTTGACATCAAATGTCAGCGGAAACTTTGACAAGTTTGCGTTTTTTCATTTTGAGTGAAATAATGTTCACTTTAGAGCACAAAATTTTTGTTGCTGTACAAGAGGAAAACGGTGGTTGGTCATTTTCGCTTTCAGTTTGTGTGAAAAATTTCCAGCCCAGATTTCCAGCCAATGTGTTGCCAACTGTATAAATTAATCGATGCCTATTCTAATTTATTTTTTATTTGATCGCACGGTATAATAAATAACTATTACTATACAAGACGATAAAGAAATTGTTTATCTACGAGGGAAAAGGTTAAGTTTACGAGTAACGAAGTCACGAGTGGACTTTTTTCATGAGTAGATAAACAATCTTTATTGTCGTGTATAATATTTCGTTTTATTTTATACTCACCTACCAGAATTTCTTGGATATAAACAGTAAATAGACATAAAATTTTTTTAATTTTCCTGGTATCGTATCTTTCTTGAATTTTTTAAAAACTCAAAAAAGTATAAAAAAGTAGGTACATACATTGTTTTCTATAGAGTTTAATTGAAATCTTTTTTAACAACAATTTAAACTAACAATATAAGATTTTACTTTTTTAAACGTAACACGCTGATTTTAAATTTATTTTTTTTTAAACGCTTTGCTTTAGTGCTTAAGGCTAAAGGGGAACATGTTTTAGATTGTTGCTAAAGCGGCAGATGGCGCGGAATTTTTATTTCTACTTTCTCTTTAACTATTCACATTTTTTATACTTGATTGGAAAAAAGTTTCGGACATAAAATATTATTTGAAAACTCGCCAACGTAACACTTTTTAAATTTTTTTTTTGAATAAAATATTAAAAACACGTATAATAGAAAATATTTTTGAAAAAACAAGGTAAGGCGACGAATCACCATTTTTTACTGAAAAGAAAAGTGTTCATTTTTGAACTTCTATAACGGGAAAGTCATGAAAACGCGAATTTTGTATCGTCTTTTTGATGTTCCGCCGCGCCGCATTTTTTGCCATACCCTTGTTGAAGTTGTGAGGGAGGTAATGTTTGGAAGCAACCACTACCCAAGAATATGGTATTTTTAAATAAGGCAAACTCTTATACCAAATTTCCTGAGGTCAGTTTACATAATTTACTTACAAACAAATATTTGAATTCGCGATTAAGTTGATAATGAAAAAAATCTGGAGTGAAAATCACACGATTAGGGCTTCAGCAGGTGATCGAAAACGCTACATGGCCATACATAGGGGCATAGGGCAATGTTGACTTTTTTATTATTAACTTTAGAATTTAATAAAACACATCAACAGTATTACTCAGTTTAGAAGTACAAGGTAGGTACGTATGTACTTATATACATTACAATTTTTACTGAAAATATAAATTTGCATAACATATTGTTTGCGAACTCGGTAACAAGACTAGTTTAAACGATCATTATAGTACTCAAATAAGAAGGTAGAATGCAAGGTAAGTCCACAATTATTTTAAAGTAAGATAAGATTTTATTGGAATTTGCTTTTTGGGAATCATATAAAGATTAAGTCCATTTTCGGTTTTATAAAAGTGCAAAAAATATAATAAATTAAAATTTACACAACAATAAAGCATTTACCTAAATGTAAATGCGTTAGTAGGTATATGTTGTCTGTATTATTTTACATTCTTAACATTATTTTCAAATTTATTGCGTATTAGAAAACAGCTAAGTGCTGAACACACTCTTACATGTTCTTTTGTTTATGAACCGATAAGAAAATACATGTTCTATGAAAATCAGAAGGTTGCACTAAAACACAAAAGTGTATATTAAATATTTATAAAACAGAAAATATCAACTGTAGGGAATGTTTTAACTATATTGTAAATCAGAAAATATTTAAATTATATGTGATTTGTCACTGTCAAGTAGTTTCTACATTTTTTTATGAACTTTGATTTTTGATTCCTAAGTTTGTGTTACGAAATTAAGACAATATAACAATTCTTATTAGGTGTAAAAGCAACAGCATGAAACGATGAAGTAGGCCGTATTAAATTTATATAATAGGTATATACTCTCGTAATAATTGATTATGTTCTTGTAACATCCTAATGCAATTATAAAATTTTCAAAAATATGTAAAACTAGTACATTCTTTTTAATTGTAATTAAAAAGAAATAATTAAATAATTATTTAATGTAAACCAGGGCCGGTAATTATTAATACCACTATAATTAATTCAGCCACTATCTTATTGATTTCATTTTCAAGGTAAGGTTATTGATGAAATTTTCTTCTGTATGTCAAGTTTATAAAATAAATGTGTCTGGTGGGTTATACATATGTAAAAATTTGTAAAATTTACAACAGAACTTGGCTTTGAAAACTAATTTTTTATGCACTCAGTGGTATATTTATAGTTTTCATAATTTAGTATTGTAACAATTGTATAAATTGACCAATTTAGCTATTTACATTAATTTTAGAAGTATACTAGGAATATCGTTTCAAAAAATTACTGTAATAAGATTGTAAGTACTTAATTAGAATTTACCTTCAGTTTATTCGTTTACTAAAAACTCGAAATATTATTCACAGAAAAAATGACGACATTTTGTTATTTACTTCTTATTTAATACAAGATGGACAAATGATTCCATGACATATTACATCAATAAAATGCGTAATTTGCGATTTTATGAACCTGTGACTAATGTTAAATATTTAAAAATTCATTAGTGACTTTCCAATGTGCAGTGGAATTGGATAATTGCTAAATGCTACATAAATTTGATGGCTCGTAGAGTAGACTCTTATTGCTTCCTTTGTACAATATTTAAATAATTGTTGCAGTAACAACTAATTTTCGCAACGTATCGAGGAAATTAGCACATCTATTATTTCAATTCAAAACTTAGTCGCGATTGCACACTGTTTTAATAACAGAATTTATTGCACAAATTGTTTAGAAATAGCGTGAAATGAAGATGAGTTACTTCTCACCTGAACGAGTCACTTAACAAAAAATTTGAAAAACCCGTAGCACCCACTAGCAATTTACGACCACTTACGACCTAGGCACAATTCGAATGTTTTGTTTTTGAATCATTTGAAGATTTAATGACGACCGCCAAGTTCAGCGGTGGGGAAATCCATGGTTACTTAGTCACATGGTCTACAGATTAACGAATACCTGAACTTGGAAGATTTCAGCGAACCAATCAGATTTACCAAGCAACCTCTACCTGTGTATAAGAAAATTTTAAAGAATTCCAAACTACTATTTCGTTTTTTTGACTCTTTGCGTCAGCAACGTGAAGACCTCACTTGATTACTGTTATACAAGAATATGAAGCCCCGCGTTTCGGCAAATTCCATCATGTTAATAGTGTTGTAGGCAGTATTGAAACAACTTTAGAGAACAGGGGATATTATTATTAAATAAAACGTAGGTCAGGTTTTGTACAACAATATTTTTGGTCGCAATTTTTAAAATTTAATGCCTAAATATTTACATAACATAACCATTATGTTTGTTGTTGATTATCTAGTATTAATTTTTGGTAAAGTAATTATTTCTACATGGGTGCAAAAACAATTTTTTGTTAATGCGTAAAGTGTACTTGACTTAGGTACTGATGGTAGATAATAATTATTAATTATTAGCTGATGACGTTTTTTCATTCATGGACTGCTTAGTTATACCTATACTTATGATGACATAAATATAAGTTTACGTAAATGCGAGTGATATTCAACTTATTGGAACATTACTTTGAAACAAGCGAATTAGATCTAGAATTACGCAATTGAATTTTTCCAATAATTGACAATAATTAAACTGACTTTTTGAGCCACCTTATTTTAAATATGAAGTAAACAAGACATTGGATATATGTTAATTTTTATACATTGTGTAGTTGAGTAAAATAGAAAGGTAGTTATTTTTGTTACGGGGACGCGCGTACATCTAAAAACTTTCTTACCTAAAACCGTTCAACACTAAAAAGTTTCAAACTAAAATGGGTCACACCTAAAATAATTCAATACTATAACCGTTCATTATTAAAAACGTTCAGCATTATAACAATTCACAATTAAAACCGAATTTTACTAAAATAATTCATTTTAAAAAAACTATATACCAAAACGTTGCAAAGCTAAAAACGGAAATCACTATAACCTTTCATCACTATAATTGGTCATAACTATAACTGGTCAAACTAAAATAATAGTT